AAAAACTTACAACATTTGATGATTCTATGATTCTATGTCACTATGCCACTAAAAACCAAATACCATCTCCAGATTATAAATGAGAATATGTCCTAAAAAATACCTGAAGTAATCTTATCATGCAACTCAGTAGTGAGGTACGACCTTGTAAGAAATGTGTGCCAATCAGAAAAATTCCAAATGATGGAAAAAAAAATTATTAGGGATTTATAAAATTTTACCTATGAGGAAAAAAAAATTGAATAGTTATCCTTAAGTTTAAGAAGTGAAGATTGAATGATGTAGTGGAGAAATGATAAAAGTTTGCAAGTTTGTAGAAGGCTAGAACAGAAAATGAAGAGTTTAAATTGTAGTAGAGAAAGTACAGTTTAGCAGCAAGAAACTTTCCAGAGATGAGGTTAGTGAAGTACTAAAGTAGACTGAGTAGGCATATTAATGAGTCTTTGAGGCTTTTAAGGCTATATTAGACAAACATTTGTTATCAGCGATACAGGTATAGTTAATTGTGCCTTGGAGCAGGCATTAACTCAACCGTGTCGTAGCTGAATGTCTTACAAAATAGATCATGATCATTTCAGTAATGTACAGAGATACTTTTAGAAGGGAAGACATTAACCTGTAAATGCAATCACATTCCAGTGTTTCTGTTGTTCCTAGCATGAATACACATGAATCATGGATTAGAGACCGCAGCTTTCATATTCTTTTCCTTCCCAGATGTTGGTGTTCCCTAGTGGCTTTCATTTTGTGGTGTTACCAAGTCAAGCACTCTTTGTTATGGTTTTCTGAAAGAACTACCATGTTTTGCTGAGGTTTTATCTTCCTGGAGTTTGTTAACCCCAAAGTTTGGTGTCAGATTTTTGCTGAGACTCTGAGGATGGGATTATTTTAACAGACTAATATATGATTTGTGCTTTGTGTAAAAGGGGAACATTGTACCATGATTTATCTAATACTTATAAATTTTAGTTACAGAAGCAGAGAAAAGAAAGAAAGATGAAGCTATCAAAAATCTGGAAACATTTTGGAAATACCTGGAGCCGGTTCTGAACAGTGGAAAGCATGGATCAAGTCTCTTTGATGTTGCCAGACTTCATCACCTCGTTAAGGAGAGTGCCTTTCCCGCTGATTGGTCTGACAGAAAAATGCTGGTCAGTAGATTTTGCTTTCACAAGGCATGGCATGCTTTGGGGTTTGTAACACTGAAGACCAGTTTAGAAGTTACAGAAATTTTAGCTTAGTCTTCTATGAAACAGAACCAGAGTAGTTAATATATTTGTAATCTTGAACAAAAATTATTTCCTATGTATCCAACAAGTTTATTCAGCATGTATTCACAAGGAGTCCTTTGAATAAAAATACCTGACTTGGAGTTTCTTAATATTGTAGGCCACAGCAGCAGCGTTTTAAAACAGTATGAGGTATTAAATTTATTCAGCATCTTTACATAGACCCAGTCTGTATCTCATTGGAGAGTCAGATGTCAGTATGGACTAACAGAAAAATTGTATTTTTGTCCTCATAATAGCAGGTCTACTTACTGTATCTCAGAACAGTCACATGAGAAAAAAATAAAATGAATGCAAAATGCTTTTTGATAGATATTCTTTTAGTGCACCCAGTACTGCTTCTTTGTGTCCAACCCAAAACATGGCTGTAGCTTATTACTCATTGTAGTCTGCTGGGTCAGGACTATTACAGGGCACTGGAAGAGACAGCCAGTCATTAGAAATTTTTCCCAGCCTAGGTTCTCAAGTATAGTGAGGTAAAAGGGTCCAATATTTTTTAATCCACACCACCAGCAGTGAAAAATATGAACTGCTAAAGCAGAATAAAACAACATGCCATAATTTAACCTACTGTATTGTGGTCTATATTATTAGGGTTAAAGGACAGACTACATCCTCCTAACACTTATTTATACTACACTAAATCCTGTATATAAACAGTCTGGTGAGCTAGGAAGTACCCTTGATCCTGAAGGGATCAGAACTGAGTTTGGCTAAATCCACAGTGGTTTCTAAGGCATTCACTAAAAATGCCTCAATTGTGGATACCTGTAGACTTGCCACATTACTTATCATTATACTCTTGATCTAAACTTAAAACATCAAGTCTATTTTGGGAAATAAATTTTTTAATCTTGTCTTTTTAATGTTCCCAGTAATCACATCTTATAGAGAGGATATTTCTACTCATTAATATCCTACAAGCAGCTATATTGCAGCTGAAATAAAAGAAAAATGATCTGTCACTAAAATTGTTACAACAGGTTTATGTTTGTGCATTCAAAACACTCCAGTGCTTTAACTGAAATTGTCATGTGCTCTAGTGATCTCTTGTAAATAATACATGAATGTCAGGTTTTTGTACCAACCCATTTTTCAGAAGAGTATTGAGTTGGAAAAACAAAAGTGCAAGAAATATTAACTCTGAAAATTCTGTTTTCACACTTAGAACTTCTCTCCCAAATATCTCCTCTAGTCTTTAAATATTATGAAAACTGAGACTAGTATTCCATAACTAATCAGTGATTTGGGGTGCTTGTTTTGAAATGCCACAAAGAGGTTCTGAGTTGAAGAACGCAGATCCTTAATACTTCTTAAGGATCAGTTAATACATTTAGTGCTTAATGATCGTTGTGCTTCTTCACCATGTTTTGTTTTAGGAAACTTAAAATTGAAACATCCAGTATTGATAGCCAACTCTTAGAGGCAAACTTCTTCATAAAAGAGACTTCTCTTATTTTCACAAAAGTGAGATAAACACTCAGAAAAGGGCTGTTGACAGAAGTTGTCTAAAAATTATAATAATTTAATCTTTTCCACAATGTCTAGGATGTACAGGGGACAAACTCGTCCATTAAAGCCACTGAAACTTGAGTGTGGCATGTGGTCTCAGATAGAGTTTTGGTACTTGTACAGAAGTATTTCATGTTTAAAATAGAGGTTGATATTTTTCTTTTTATTCCTCCCAAGCTTTGGTGAAAACCACAGTACACTACCTCAAGAACCTTGACTCTTTCCTTGTCAGACTTTTGCCGATACAGTGCTCTCCCTTTGGACATTCAAGCAGTATGCTGACATTCCTTTGCTTGCACAGCTGTGGAATTCAAAGTTCAGTTCTTGAGGTTCTCTTTGTTTTAAAAGGGCAACAGAAAGAAAGAAAATAATATGAGATGACATTGATTACTTGGTTGAGTTGGGGTTTTTTTTTATCCTTCCAGGGCAGGAGAATGGTTAACCTTACAAATATGCTGCAGATTGATCACCAGTAGAAACATGCACATATGATATAAAACAATTATTTTAAGTTAACCTCTCCCATTTCTTCCCATCAAAAAAAATAACCTAAATTTGAATTGCAAGAGCACAAACCTTGCATGGTTACCGTTAAGACAAGTTATGACTTTACAACTAAAGAGTCTGGGCAATACTCAGTCCATGCTGTGGTATGGCAGTGTTTAGGCAAATAAAGATGAGGAGATCTTGTTTTCTTAGAGTAACTCTACAAAACATTTTGAATTAATGAAGGAAAAATCCTTTGGAAGATTTTTAAGCAGTTGTAGATCTGCTGGTTAGAGAGCTAATGACTCATGTGGCTAAGTTACATGACACTTTTGGAAGTAAACTTAATCCTTTGTATCTGATTTTCTGTCATAGCTTGCATCTGGCACCGTGCTGTTTGAAAGTATTGCTTGTTTAATGTATGACTGCCTGGACTGGAGAAGACAGCATTGTAACTACTTGGAAAACACCAAGTTTATTAATGTGCCTGCATTATCAGAGAGCAAATCGACACAACCACCTGTAACTGAGGCAAGGATCCTTTGTCCTTTGCTATGCTTGTAGAGAATAACTAGTTATAGACTCAAATTGCCTGTCTTTAATTCTGCACTTAGAAGTTCACCTTGGGCCATCACTCCATGTGTAATTTTCTGTGAACGAAATTGGGATTTTTGTCTTCAACATTTAAAACCTTAAAAATGAAAGAAAGAAAAAAAAAAAAAAAAAGCTGGTCACTGGAGAAACAGAAACAGGAAAACTTGAGAGATCATACAGGCAGCAGTATCCCAGGTGTATAAATTCCTTAAATAGCTTCTGATGAGACCTTATTGTGTCAATGTGCCTGCACAGAGCTACTATGTCGTGTTGCAGATCTGTGAACTATCAAAAAAAGATTATTAGTTCAATGCAAGATCAGTTTCTTCATTTTGTTTATGGTAGATAAAAGCTTAAATGGGCAGAAGAAAGTGGCTTATAGGGCATGTCCTAGTGGCAGGGAAAAATGGGCTTACTCCATCTATAGAAGTATTACTGAATGCTCATTTAAAGCATTCATAAAACCATGTTCTTACTATGTGGTTTCATTCAGAGTTAGGTGGGATTTGCCTCCCCTAACACTAGTCATTTAAAAGATTAGCATCTAGTTTAGGATGAGAAACAAAAGCTAAATGAAATTAATTTCTCACAGCTATTTGTGCAGTCCTTATTTATTCCACTGTTTCTAAAGTTTTTTATCTTTATTTTTGTTCCTTTAGGTACAACCAGTACCACAGATTACACCTTCAAAGACAAAAGGGCAAGCAGAAGAAATTCTGCCAACAGTACTTTCGTCACAGGGTATGTTTAAAGGATTAAAGCACTTATCTGTAGCTGTTCACTCTGTCATACCATTCATTCATCTGACAGCACAAATCCTTGAAATTATTTGCACAGTAAGATGAAGATGTGATTTGATGTTGGGAGAGTAGTTTATTGGTGAATACATTGTGAAAGTCTCTGGAAGCTGCAGTGGTGATAATGAAACTCTGTAGAAAATCACTTTTATCTGTTCCTAGTCACAGTCAGATTTCGGAGCTCTACAGTAATGGACTTTGTTAGTCTTTTTTAAGAAAAATTGTCTGAAGTTTGAACTAGTTGGTAATATAAATTGTCATTTCTGAAGAATTGTCAATTCTGAAGAAATCTTAATGTTTTATATCTTATTACAGCAGAGGAAGAAGCTTCTATTTTGGCTTCTTCCGTGGACATGAGGTATTACAATGACTTGCTGAGTCAGATTCCCGAGGAATACTTTTCTGTACCTTTGATGGTGAACTGCATGTTGGAACAGGTGGGAATATTCTGCATATAATTCCTGTGGCTAATTGGGCTTAGACCTGGTATAATGAATTGATCAAAGATCAATACATCAATCTGTTTCAGCCTAAAATAAAAGACTGTGCGTGGAAGCACTGACCAAATAGGTTCAATACAAAGGAATCACAACTCAAAACTGACATCTTTGGTTTTCTTTTGTACTGTACACTTACCCTGTATATACAGTGTTATTCCAAAATTATTTTTTCAAAACAACAGATCCAATATCATCAAATGAGGAAAAAGGTGTAATTTCTTAGCTAAGTCAATAACAAGTTTTCATGTCCTGAAACAATGTTATTGATACTGAGCTTTTACTGTTTTACGCAGGTTTTAGGGCAAGCCTAATGTAGAAGTGATGTGTGTCAATGCTAGTGCTAGACAGATCTGACTCTGAGTTTAGGCACAAGCTATGAGTTAGCAGAGACCCACAGTATAATTTGAAAATCTTCCTTCATTTAGAAATAAAATTTCAGCACAATCTTATTTTTTTACTTTTTGCATTTTGGTCTGAAAATAGGCAAAAATATTCAAAATAAGGTGTAACACTTGATACGTAATCATTTTTAAATTACCTGTGTTTATTAACAATTATTAACATTTCAAGTTGGAAATGTTTTAATTCTCATCCTTCCAAAAGTGAATAATAAGAGAAAACATTTAATTCTGTTTTCCATAATCTTTGTTTTGGGCAGGAACTAACATGTAGAATCACGTTTTTGCTACTTGTAGAAAAAAATTATGGTTCTCCTTCCTGACAAAATTTATGGATGTGTGTTTAGCTTATAGCAGGATCTACTTGGTAGTTTTAATGAAGTTAGGCAGCAGTCATACTGTAATGAAAGCAAACATATATCATGTTTTCCAGGTTATTGCAAGTGAAGAAGACCTTACACCACCTAGTCTGGTGGTACCAGAGCCTCGGGCAGATGGGCTGCATCATACCGTTGCAGATTATATAGCCTCTGTCCTTCCTTCTCTTTCACTTTCTGAGGGTGAAAAAAAGGTTTGTGTTGTCTTCTGTTCATTTCCTAAAATGACAAATAAATCTGATTATTGTGGTTTAATACATCTTTCTTTTTCAACAGAATCTATATGACTACTTTTCTCCTAAATACAGTGAAAAAAGTTCTGTCACCCCCAAGTACCCTCTGTTATTTAACTACCATGATACTCTGGCTCAGCGGTTGCACCTGCTGAAGGTATAGTGCTACCTATCATATATAAACAGTTCTAAAGTCCACAGGCAGTAAATACTCAATGCACTAGGTGTTTTTACAAAGCAGAACAGTATAGCCTAGAATTTTCTTACTGAGGCAGTCACACTAATACGTGTTTAGTTTGCTTAAGAGGCAATGAGGTTACAGCTCTGTTGATTTACTGTAGTCAGACACTGATGAAATTGTGGAAAATGAGTTGTTAACTTGATAATGGTGATTTAGTGTGTAGATTAGATTCAATACTAAGATGTAGAGAAATATAAGAAAAGATACAGAGGTGTTTAGTGGACGCAAGAAGTGTGTTCTGGTCGGCTAAATAGTTGAGCATAGTGCATAACCAAAACATTGACAAATTCTAACGGAGGCAGAAAGGTTCAGAGACTGCAAGATTTGGGATTATTGTTAAGTAACAGTTCCCAGACTTTCTGAATCAAAAAACCGCTGTAAATTTCTCAAAATGTTCCAAGGCCAAGCTGTACTTTTACCATTAAACTTTGAAAATACTCTGAATGTAATACAAGTGATAATACAGTTCTAGATTTCACAGCTAAGGTTTGTCTGCCTGGCTTCAGGAATTACAAATTGTCCATGGAATACTTTATCAACCATTGATTAAAACAGTATTCAGAAACAAATTGAGCTTGACATACTGGAGGTGTTCAAGCAGAAGGCAGGACTGAGTAATCACCAAGAACGATGCTGTTGGCAGGCAAATGCTTGATGTGTATGAAATACTTGCTGCAGAGGTAATTCAGGGTGTAGCAAAGTGTTTGAGGAGTGGATAGGGGAAAAAGATTTGGAAGATACAGTCCAAGAAAAAGGTACTGTAAGTGTGTAATACTAAAAAGAGTGAAGCTGAAAGATGCCAATAAGTCTCAAAAGATAAATCCTTAAATATACAGGGATGCTGCTGTCACAGACTGATCAATGAGTTTACAGGCTTCATTATCATAAGAAGTAGCACAGATCAGCTGAAAGATATGTGGAAGGTACCTGCTGCCTGTCTGAATAGATCACTACCTTTTTCTGTATTCCAGAATTTTTGAGTCTAGCTAGCCCAGGCAGATGCCTTCTAACAAGTATCTGTCATTATGCTGTCAGTTATTCTTTTATGTATCTCATTTTTAAAGCCTAAAATACCTGACACCATGATTCAAAAACACACTGTGTGCTTGTGCTCAAATTTATGTTCGGCTGACTTAAGCATGTGCTTATGTCTTTCGCTATAAAAACACTTCTTTATTCAAACATAATTTTTAGAAATCCACTGGTGTGGAAGTTTTCTTTAACTGTGGTACTTTGTTTTTTGTTCCAGGCCCAGGAGAACTTAAATCCAGAAAAAATTGAATGTGAAATGATGAATAAACTGCTTATTACAGAACTTATCCATTTCACCCTTCCTTCAGCTGAAAACAACACTAAACGCTTGGCCAGAGTTCACGAGCTCATGCATTATTGTACCAGTGGTAAAGTGATTTTCTTTTTCATTGATAAAACTTCCCTTTTTTATTTCTGGTTGATGATCCTGTTAAATAGCAGGAATTTTGGGACAAGTTTTTTCAGCTGCCTAAAACCTTTGCAGAATTTCCCATTTTCACATTCTTGCTTATACCTTAGCCTACTGTATAAGCTGGTGCTAACTTTAGACCTCAGTTTCATGGTTAATGGGAAAGACTATACGAGTATTAAATACTGCATAACTAAGAACTGGAAGTATGTTAGAACTCATTTGCTTATTTATAATCACAAATATACAAATACTGACTAATCTGAGAAAAAAAAATAGTTGTACAAATTGCGATTTTGATACTAGGACATAAAATGTATTCTGCATAAGCTGTTGGTGTTAATAATGAAAAGGCTTCTGTTATAGTCCCTTTATCAAACCAAGAATACATTCACTTCTTCAAGCATAATCACTTCTGCAGTTCCCTTTTCTTGGAGTGTGCATACCACTGTGACATACACTGTGAAGCAATCTGTGGTGTGTTTAGCCTGGCTGGCAGCCAAACACTGAACAGCTGCTCACTCACCCTCCTCGAATGGGACAGGGGAGAGAATCAGAAGGGTAAAAGTACAAAACTCGTGGATTGAGATTTAAAAAATAAATAAATAAATTTGTAATATAATAATAATGGCAAGAACAGTAATAGTGGAATATTCAAATGAGTGATGCACAGTGCACTTGCTCACCACCTACCCACTGATGCCCAGCCCGTCCCCAGCCAGCGATCCTGGAGCAGAGACAATCCAAAAACCAAAAAAACCCACAATCCCAGAGGAGTGACTCTGAACGATCCCTGAGAGAATCCCCCAGCTTTCTGGTCAACCCTCATTAATATACTGAACATGACATTGTATGAGATGGAATATCCCATTGGTGTATCTGAATGCCAGTTTGGGCTTACTACGCTTTCCTCCCCAGACCTTTGCACCTGCAGACTAGCAGAACACGGGGAGATTGGAAATGTTCTTCATCTTCCAGTAGCAAATAAAAACATTGGTGTGTTATCAGCATTCTTCTCATAACGAATCCCATACTGATACCACAACACAGTGCTCTTCTAGCTGCTAAGAAGAAAATTATCTCTATCCTAGCAAAACCAGGCCATAAAAAGATGATAGATAGACTTCAGGTTTACAGAAGAATAAAGGATTTAGAGGATGATAAGGTAAGGCATGACGGTGTTTTACGATACAGTTCTAGAACTTGGAAGTTTAATCATGGCTGTTCTATAAAGCAGATTTTAGGCACAAGTATGACCGAGGGAGACAGGCCTCAAAATAGGGCTGGAAATAGTCATTACTCCATCTACTTCTTTCCAAAAAAAGAAAATTAACTCTAGCCTAGTGAAACCGGGACGCAATCCCGAAGACTGCGTTAAGTACCCTTGGGTAGTTTCAAAAGTTTACTCCAGACTACTAAGAAATATAAACATCCAGATCCCTTTGGTTACATTTATGCCATCATAATAAGGCACAGGATTTGAAGGTACTTTCTCACCCATTCAGTCCTGAAATCTCTTCTGTTGGATTGATTTACACTCACTGCATTGTTTCTAGTTCTTGGTATGTTCATTTTGGACACTAAGCTATTAAGGAGTTATGTATTGTTGTAGCATTCCCACTGATGGGTATCAAATTTGATGGTCTTCACTGGAGCATAATATACTGCCAAACTCTGCCAACTGTTAACTTGGCTAGCTCTTCACTTTTATCAAGAAGGTGATTGATTTGAACAGGAGATGAGATAACCAAGAGTATCAAGACGTGTGATGTGCTTGGGTGTTTAACTACCATAAAGAGAAAACATTTCAAACTGAAGATACTCTTTGTATAATTTGGACAGTGAACTACCTGTCTTAAAATTCAGTCCTTCTCGTAATTATCAGTGTTATATATCACCAATGCCTACAACCATAAATAGGACTTGTTATTGCCTTTGAACCTTGGATACTCCTGTGTAAATTATGTGTAAAATTTTGTCTGAAGAGAAAAAACTACTTGATACTTGGTTTGAGAAGCTACAGATAATAAAAAAGATTACAATAATGAAAGCCTTTTCATTAATTAAAAATAACTAGTTGTTAACTGGTTTGATAAAGTCTACTCAGTATTTTTAAAATCAGCATCATTTATATAAAGTTAATGAGCCAGGAGGTATTCAGATCTAGGAAGCACTTCATTTAAGATGGGTTAATAGTTAGGCATATAATTTTGCAATTTGGAAGCATTCAACTTTGAATGTAGTGTAGAATGTAGCTCACAGAATTTGATCCAATACCATTAAGGAAATTGTTGTTGGCTTTTGCAGACTTGCCAAGGACAATACACTTATATAGTCTTCTGTTTATCTTCTGCTGAGCCGTAAGGACATTTTCAGTTAATGATTGTAATTCTTTTATAGAACTCCTGAGTTGGGCTGAAGTAGAAAGAGCCTTCAGAGTGTTTACTTTTGAAAGCCTGAAGCTGACTGGGCTGAGTGACTCTGGTGTCCTGGAGAGCTCTGGATCTATGGTTGGAGGCAATTCTGAAGTGCCTTGTATCCCTTGGGCTGATCCAGCCAGGTTTGCAGGGCAGCTGAGACAACTCTTCCTTATGGAAAAGAAGCTTAATGGGAAATCTCCAAGAGGCTGTGGTAAAAACCTCTCTGTTTACATTACTCCTGAAGTATTTGAATCTGCTATTTATTTTACCATATCATTTGCTATTGCAGGGCTGTGATTTTTCTTCCTTGTACAAATCACCAAATTTTCACGTATTGTATAGTCTGTACATTTAGTATCTATGTGGGAATGCTAGATAAAGACAAAAGCTAGCTATTTTTTATTACAACATTAACAGTTTAGTTAAGCAACTCCTTAAAATTATGTCTGTAGAAAAATACTTACTAGAAAACCATTTTATTGCTTATGACATCAAATATAGACATAAAATACTGAAAACATGCTTAAATACCTTTCTGGATACAGGCTCTTGTGAGTTATAATGGCAGCTGAGTCTTTACAAAGTCAGGAGCAACCATAGAGTGAAATCAAAAGTGATGTATGAGGTTAATTAGGTGATTACTAGTGAATGAGTATTAGGAAATGCAAAGAATACGTAACGCGCACATCAGGACTCTAGAGGGTGATATAAAAAGTTGAAAAATAAAAAAGGTGTGTTATGTGTTGTAATTACACATGCATCCATACCTTTTCCTTTTAATTTTTTTTTCTTCTAGGCTTCCCTTTTCTTTCACATGCAGGTTAATCCATTGTAGAGTTTTGACATTCAAAATTTTGGGCCAAATTTAGAAGCAATGGGGAAAGAGGAACATATTCTATTAGGTGTTGAAGAAAGTGAGACCAATGCAAATAAATCATAATAAGGCTAACATGGTAGAACTAATGTTGTAAGGTAGAATTTTTAACATCCAGTTTTCATATTCACATTAGACTCTCTCTTTATTTGGCCAGAAATATGTGAAAATCCTGAAGTTAAAATAATAAAGCTATGTTTCAACTTCCATCAGCTTCTCTTAATTCATTTCCTGTCTCTGTAATTAGTATATCTTTAGCAGGTTACTATGTGGCATTTGAGCCACTATAACTGTCTCATTCATATTAGAATGGGAACATTTTAGAGAGCAGGAAGAGATGGAGAAGACCTCTTGTAGACAATGCAGAGTGAATTTTCTGGAGGTTCTACATTTTCTCCTGCAGATCCTAACATAATGAAAAGTTGTTGGCCTGATTCAAGGAGCAGTGTGGGCCAAGAAGCAACATTATAAACAAGTTATTATTTTTCTGGGATGCAAGAAAAATAGAAATTAGGTCAGTTTAAGCTGCTATACCTTTAGGTTCATGATGGTGACCATGCTTTCCTAATACAGATGTCTAGGCAACTAGCTAAGATGGGATCCTTTCCTTAGAAGGTTGGAACTGTATATAAATGCATCCTGCTTATCCGCCTCTTCTGAATTTTGGGAAACTTTTTGGGGGGTTAATTTATTTTACTTTTTTTGCTAGTCACAATACTAAATATTGCAGTTACAAATATAGCCCCAACATTTCAACACTTCTGCAGCACTAAAGCAAGTAGCAGGAAGAGAAAATGCTGCTTTCAGATTTCTTAAATCTCCTAAAAGCAGTCAGTAAACAGGTCTAATTTTCTATAGAAGCAGAGCCTAAAGATATATGTCTGGAAGCTGAGCTGGTTATGAGCCACTTAAGAACAAATACTTTCTGGAGTATTTTCTCCCAGGAAGAATATTTTTGTGGTATGTGTGAATTTTGATTAAATATTAGTGAACTCTGCCCTAACTCAGGACATAAAGAATTGTATTAAAATGAAGGTATTTAAAAAAATTGTAAGAATATAGAAGTTAAAATCTCCATGTGATCCTGTTCATATCAGGTGCCCATTGTAACAATGGAATAACTGGTTAGATCCGCAGCAGAAGTAGTATTCTGTCAGTAGCTTATAAAACTCTATACATCCAATAAATTTAAAGTTCCAAATGTACATTTTTCAAAAATACTTTAAAATATAAAAATAATTTAATTTTGTCTTCTTTTTTTATGGCATCTGTGCAAAGGAATGTTTGTTATTGTTTCTTCATGTATTGGTTCTTCATGTATGAATCTGGAGGACACTTCTTAGAGTATTTTTAATGTTTTTGACCATGCAAGGCCAGCATAGGGCAGATAAAGAGGATGATATTATTATTATTATTATTTAGAGTATTTTTAATGTTTTTGACCATGCAAGGCCAGCATAGGGCAGATAAAGAGGATGATATTATTATTATTATTATTGTTGTTGTTGTTGTTGTTGTTGTTATTGTTGTTGTTGTTGTTATTATTATTATTATTATTATTATTATTATTAAACTGTCTGGCACTTGTTGTCCCTGAATTGTAAAGTGCTTTTTTAGGAAGGAAGTGTAGCAGAACTGATTATGTATTTATTGAACTCGTGTTATAAAAGGAAGCTTCAACTTGATGGCAATCTTGTCAGGGAGGCCAAGGAAACTGCATCACTCCAACCTTAGTGTTTAGGGCTGAAATTTCTGGACACTGTTTAAAATTCTGCTTTAAATTTCCAGGACATAGAGAAATGAATGGCAAAGATGGAAGAGATGCTCTGGCTGATCCTGTTTTGAACAAGGGATTGGATGTTTTTATTTCTGATATGGTAAGTGTGAAGAATGGAATAAACTGTGCTTTATACTGTGAGACAACAGAAGATACTGTTCAATGCCAGGACATGTTACTGGGGACTCCCTTGCAATGCTGCATGCAAATGTTAATTTTGTGATGTTTCACAAATAGTGCCACATAAGTTTGAAGCACTATGAAATCACTTTCCCTGAATTCTAAGGTAATGGGTCTTGGTGAAGCTACTAATGACTGTTCTATGCTGGTTTCACTGAATACCAGGGGTCAAATACTAGCCTGAGAGTTTGAGAGAAAATACCAAACTGTGTCACACTAATAAACTGTGTAGTTTGGCATCTTCAGAAACACCTGCCTGCCATACAGCCCTGGATAAATATATCAGTTTTAAAATTACTTCATAGGACATCTAAATATTCCTAATTGCTTACAGAACTCAAAAACATATAACCTAATAATAAAAATATTGAGATTATGTTTGCCATAAAAAAAGCCAAGACCAAAAACCGTTGGGAGCAATTGTGCTTTTTATTAAATAGTGCCATACAAGTCTACACATGTGCAACATTATGCAATTAACTGTGATGCAACATGGGATGCCATTTATTAAGTCAAGATTATAGTTAATTTAACTAACACTGAAATGTTGATATTCATTATTTTGTTTTGGTGTATTTTGAGGCGAGTCTGGAAAATTATGGCCTAGGACCAAACTTAGAAGAAATAAAAAAGACACAGAGGCGCTGCTTGACAGACTGGAGTTTTGCTGAGCATTTTCCACCCCATGTTCTTCTTCAGGTACCTGTGAACTAACAATCCTATACGTACTGTCACCCCTCAGAATGCTGTAAAAAGGATTAGTAGCAGAGTACAGGGTATTACCTTGATAGATAATTTATTCCATTTTATCCCTTTTACATTTTTACCAAAACCCCTTGTTCTTTAGCTGTTTTTCAGTTTCTTATGTGAAATTGAGTTTGTAGTGGGTTTTTATTTCCTAGTCTGTTCTTTTTGATAGTGAGTCTTTTAGATAAAGATGTGATGAAGGCAAAATAATCTTGCTCTTTGGGGCAATCCTGTCTGGCAGTTATGGGACTCATTAGTGCAGTGTATGTGAAAATGTACTTTGCAAATACCTATGCAGTATATGCTTTATGGGCAAATAGGAAATTTTTTTGCAATGTTACTTCACACTTTCAGGGCTACCAGCTTCATTTATAGAAATCTTGCAATCTGAAATCTAAAACTTGTCTTGCAGAAAGAGAGAAGGACAAATGTGAAAGATAAGTTCAAGTGCAAATGGCTGAAGTTGGTAGGCTTCTCTTGAAATGAGTGGATTATTAGTTCCTGTACTGCCTTGGGCTTTATATGCTGCAATTCTTAGTTGATCCTGACACATGCTGTGCATGGGTGAAGGAAAGGCTGCTTGGACTTTTTCAGCACTACTTTAGTATCACAACTTTAACATCAGACATTTCAGTACACGGGGAATTCTTTCTTATGCAACATAAATCCCTAACACTAACTGAACTGTCAATAATTAGTGAATCTCTTCAAAACATACTGATGGAAGATAACTGCAACAGAAAATAGCATTTAATTGCAACAGAAAATAACACTTTCGAAGAATATTTCCTTCTACTACATATCACATCTGAACATAATTTTTACACCAGCTGCTATTAAGGTTTTCATGTTTAAAGAGAATATTTGTTGATATGGAATTATTTCAGTGTTACTTCAGTTTCATAGTTCTGTAAAAATAGTTGTTTAAAGAGGCTTTCTTCTAGCTATAACTATAAAATAAATTTCATCCTGCAGACAATGTAAACAGTGAAAATGGTGGGGCAGTACAGAACAGTGCAATAATGTAGAACACAGTAAATCTAAGATGTGCAGGTCATAGTAGAGCAAATTGAAAACCAAGTAAACTTAACTGAGCTAAAACAAAAATCTGTTTTCTTTTTACCTGATATGTGATAGTTCTGCTTTTATTTACTACATATTTATTTAAATACTTTATTATTTATATTTGTTTAAGTATTTATTTAATATTTAAATTTATTTATTTATTATTTAGCTGAACTTTTCCATTTGTGGTCAGTCTTAGAAGATGGAGCGTAGTGACTGCCTCTTCTACATATGAATAGTGGTGCAGTTTAAATTTCCAACTGCCTGAAAACTTCAGATTGCTGGAATCCAAATGCTTTGCATACATCTTGTAGGAGAGTGAAGTTCTGAAGCACCTTTTGCTCAAAGCTGTGCTGTGTAGCACCTGTACATATGCTAATGTCTGCAGGGAGGGTGTACTTTTTATTTGTTTCATTTTCAGGTTCTTCATACTGCATCCCAAGAGTATAGATGCATTGATTCCTTTTATCATACCCAAGATAACTCTTTGCTAATGGTTCTTCACAATCCTATGAATAAGTATCGTTTGTGCCAAGAGACTTGGGATATTGCATTGCATTCTAATGTTGGATTCAGGTAATTGATTTTATCTTTCATGTCTCATTCATAGTTAATTTCAATTAAAGCCTGTATGGCTCTGCTTGGGACAAAGCTTTGAAATTAAAAGATAGCACAATGTAACACATTTTTGACTAAGCAAGTCATTCAGGTGGAGACCAATGCTATATTGAATTCTGTTGAGACAAAGCTTTTCCAAGTGAGGAGAACCATGCAGTAACTGTGTTTGACTCTTTATCACAAACTATAAAAATATAGGTAATGTACACATGAGGTCATATTAGGGATATCCACACTGAGAAAATTATATTGAGGACACTTCAGGTGAGGGAGATTAAAAAGAAAATTCTATCTAAGCATATACTTATCAGGTTTTTCAACTATTTATACATAAATTGGGCAAGCGTCACTGGGAAAATTTATCAAGAAACGCTAGAAGCCCTTTATTAATATTAGAATATTTGTTTCACAGAATACCTCATTCTTCTTAATTCCTTGTCATTATCACCAGTTAGAGGCATGCAGATGGTTGATGTGTCCATTATTAGAGCTTTTGTCAGTGGATCTGTTCATTTTGGAATACATTTTTGCACTAAAACAGTGATATAAATGATGATGTGGATCCAACTGCTATTCCAAATAATTGACCAAAAATAGAATATGTGTCCATGTACTGATATGTAAAGAAGTTGCAATGCCATGGAGAGACAGCTGAGCTATCTTTAACTATGTCACTCTGGTGCTTTATGGATTAATTAGATTTGATTTATCAAATAGATTTTCAAGCAAGTTATCCAATGGATACCCACACACACTATTTGTCTGCAGGCGTCTCTTTCTAAGTGCAGTGCCTCATGTGTCAGACGATGGGAATCTTTTAATGCCAACTTTTGTTGGCACCTATATATTTGAATAGATTTGAATGCTAAATAGGCAAAGTGTGCCTTCTTGAATATGTATTTTATGTTGTATTTTATATCTCTGCTCTAAGTCAAGAAACTCTGTGTGAGTCCATCTTAGCTTTCCAGGCACTTGGACTTAAATTATTTGCCATGAAAAGAGGCTGTTGTGATTAGCAGTGACTGGGACCAGAGCCAGAAGAGATTTACCAGCAGAAACATAAAGTTCCTTGGAGAAAATGCTGTCTGTATAATGTTTTTTGGGCAAATCCACTAAATGTCTGGTGAATCAATTTCTTTGCATGTATGTAACAGCTGAAATCTTCCCCAAAAGATAGTGAAAGACGGTGTGTTCAAATAAACCTGGGTCTTGCATTCAGGTAGACCTCAGGCAGAGGGTGAGTGGCCTCAAAGTCTGTTACACAAAGACTTGAGGACCACTGAGGAGACGCCTAGCTCGTTCCCAGGTAAAGATCCTGGAGGGCCGACAATCCCAAACCAAAACCACAATCAGAGCCTGAGCAAAAGTCAGAGAGAGCAAGAGGGGAAGAGACCCTCATTAATACACTGAACAAGACGTTATATGATATGGAATATCTTATTGGCATATCCAAATGCCAATTTAGCTTATTAATTTAAATATTCCTCGCTCCCCTTAGATCTTGCACTTGTAGACTAACAAAACACGAAGTCCTTCACTTCCAGTGACAAAAATGAAAACATTGGTATGTTATCATTGTTTCTCTCATAACAAATCCCAGGCTGAAACCAAAATGCAGCGCTATTCTAGCTACTAAAAAGAAACCAAGCTCTGTCTCAGCTAAAAAACAGGACGGTTCCTAAAGAAACTGGCATGAAAGCTAACAAGAAGGTTTGGCTTTGCTCTTGCTTCATAGAAATATTCAACTCAGTGCTATGTGTGCTACTTAGTATCTTTGAAGAGCTATGCACTGTCATTTGGTTCTGTTATGTGGCATCTGTATCTGCAAAATAATCAGCACATTTTCTGACCTTATTCAACTTTTTTGCTAAAGATCATTACAGATTTCCAGGCAAAGTATCATAAATATTTGCTAGTGTATGTTTCCAAGCAACATAACACTTCTGTGGAAGACAGTCTTTAAGTACCTGTGGTGCTTCAAGATCTTGCCTGCAATTATCTTCCATATCCTGCTGAGTTGCCAGAAACAGGCACCAACCCTATTTACTAATTAAAGGGTAGTATTACTAGTTTTTACCTTTGTATGAAATAACTGACTCCTGATGAGGTTAGTAACAATTTATTGATTCGCCTTTTATTAAAATTACTATCATTCTAATTTGGGGGATATATTTAACAGTCACACTTTCACCACAGGAGAGTTACAAATACACAACAGACACTGTGCTTGACTATCTCTCTGTTAGGAGTTCTCTGTCTATGTTTACTTGTTCCTTCTTTATTGTGACATCTTACAGACCACAAACCTGCTTTGTTAGAGGTGTTTCGTAGTTGCTGTCTGGAATATACTTCTGTTAGCTGCTAATTAGTAGGTTACAATGGGTCCTGTTACAGCAAATTCTCATGCAAGGGAGAAATTGAATTTCCTATGTTGCAACAGCTTTTGCTCCTGGAGATCCCAGTTACCCTTTCTTCTTCTCTATGGCTGTCAGGTCCCGTAGTTCATGTAGAACATCCAAAAATTCAGGAATTATACCGTTCAAAGGGTAGGCAGCAGGAGGCTGCGTGTGAAATCCAGTGGATACTGCTGACTAAGGGGATACAAAGGCATGGGTGCATGTACCTACATGTGTATAAAACATTTCATCTGTGCTTAGAGTAAGTGGCCACTCTATCAGGAAGCCGAATGAATTCAGATATTATCAAATCTATTCTTTTGCTCAAAGTTAATCTTAATGACATTTGTTTACTGTTTCATAGTAAACACATTACACAAGTTACTGGAAAAGAATAATCCTTTCTGAGAAATGATTCTGAGTCAGACATTGGCAGTAGTAACATCAGAATACATATTAATAGAAGGTGTATTTTTGACTTTGAATGACTGTTTCATTGCCCTGAAATATTTTCCATGCGAATAATCTCTTTTTTATTTATAACGTATATTCATCCTCAAGTTATTCCAGTTCTGGCAACTCTAGGTTCCAGCCTAGTTTTGCCTTTTGTTTTCATAGAATCATAGAATCATTTTGGTTGGAAAAGACCTTTAAAATCCAACCATAAACCTAACACTGCCAAGTCCACCATTAAACCATGTGCCTAAGCATCACATCTACACATCTTTTCAATGTCTCCAGGGATGGTGACTCCACCACTTCCCTGGGCAGCCTGTTCCAATGCTTGACAACCCTTTCGGTGAATAAATTTTTCCTAATATCCAATCTAAACCTCCCTTAACACAACTTGAGGCCATTTCCTTTTGTCCTGTCACTGTTTACTTGGTTGAACAGACCAACTCTCACCTCTCTACACCCTCCTTTCAGGCAGTTGTAGAGAGTGAGAAGGTCTCCCCACAGCCTCCTTTTCTCCAGACTAAACAATCCCAGTTGCCTCGGCCGTTCCTCATCGCACTTCTGCTCCAGGCCCTTCACCAGCTTCATTGCCCTTCTCTGGACACGCTCCAGCACCTCCGTGTCCTTCTTGTAGTGAGGGGCCCAAAACTGAACACAGGACTCGAGGTGCAGCCTCACCAGTGCTGAGTACAGGGGTAAGGTAACTTTCCCTGGTCCTACTGGCCACACTATAGCTCGTACACTTTTGTTCAGATACAAGCAGGGTCAACTTGCCTATATTGAATATATGATCAACAGTTTTTCCATATAAGTTTCCCAAAGCAGCCTCCACTATATTGCAGAAGCTGGTAGAGACTTGTGTGTCTTGAAGCAGTACATGAAGTGTATACATCTCCAGTCTGTGTAGATAGCCTACATATTAATTCTCTTGGATGTACAATGTAATACTGCAATAAAAACTTTAAAACTGTTGTGAGATCAAGAATTGGTTGTGCTGCCTACATGTTCACAACCGAAAACTGCAATGCATACAGAGCTTTTGAATAAAATTGAACCATCTTGAACTTACAAATGAAAATATTATGAAGGCACAACAACTGAATCTCATGCATTCTTTAAAAGCCCCTTTTAGTTTTGCACACATGAATAATTTTACTTTAAAGAGTTATGGTAACACTGCAAAGAAGGAGTTGAGTAGCAACTGCATATAAGAGACACCTTTGGCAGATGAGACAATGCAACTACAGATACCAGCTGCAGACTGTGGATCAGTTTGTCATTCAGTGCTCACTTCAATTTAATTGTTAATTTTGAATATTCTCAATTTATGCCAGGCTACGGTGCACTGCTTCTCCAATTGAGATTTGGATGACAATTTCCAAGCACCTTTCTTGTCACACCATTGAAGAAGAGCTAGAAATTAAATAGAATAACACTTGAGTTACTGAACAAACAAATGAAGTGTATGCTAAAAGACAATATTAATCAAGCGATGAAGAAAATAAGTTATCCTGGTGGTAAGGCAGTGAGGAGAATGAGTCTGAACATTTCTTAAACTGAATATCTCTCTGTTTTCTGAATTCCTGGATTTTCTTTGGGAGCAGGTGTTCTTCGGAAGCCAAGTTTCTAATATCTCTTTGCAGAAGGGATAGTGAAAATCCCAAACATAAGATACGTTACGCAAATACCAGCGAGGCAAAAGTACCAGCTCCTGTAAAAACTGAGAGAAAACACAAGCCTTCTCTCAGAGGTTATAGAATAATATTTGTATAAGAAACTGAGAAGCCAAGTGGTCTTATTTGACCTGAAATTGTATTAGTGAAAACTGTATTATGGTAAATGGAGGAATATTGTGCTTTTCAGGAACTATCTTGAGCTGGTGGCCAACTCAATTGCAGACTGGGTGAAAGAGGAAGAAGTCAAATACCAAGAAGAGAAGATGGCTAAGGCAACAGAGTCTCTTAAACTGGAAAAAGCCATGACAGAAGGACCTTTTGAATTGTCTGCAAGTGCTGTCAAAAAGCCTGGCTTCACTAAGAAAGCCAAAAGTAGGTATCTTTTTGTTTTATCCTAGAAAATTCGATTTCCATGTTGAGTGCTGAGACCCAAAGTTGTTCAGAGCAGAATCACATATATTTTTTCATATGGTAGCCTTGTTTTGTCATCTGTATAGACGTAAAAGTGTTTGGAAATTAGTTAAATATGCATATTTAAATATTCTGCATCATCCTCTGTTCTGAAAACTGAGACTTTTAATATCAATTTACATTTACAGCAGCTGCATTTATTTAATGGAATTACTTTAAGGGTTACATACAAATATGAATCTCTGTTTAGATGACTGAACATACGAAGAGATGAGCAGTAGTTAAAAGTTGGCAGCACAGTTCAGGAAAAATTCCTTTTTAAAGCGCAAGTTATAAACTGGAAGTCAGAACCTGTGGGCTAGAAGCTAAAACTGGAAACAAATTGGCTAGACTGCAGAGCAAACTTTAATTACAAGCAACTTGTTTTGGGTAGTGAGAATTGTAAGCAGTTGATACAGTAACTGTTGAGCAGGCAGCAAAATCTGAAAACCCCTTTTGACAAAAGAGAACATTTGTCCAAATTGTCTGTTGGTGTGTTTAAATGTTGTTAACAATGATTTGTTGATTTTTAGCCTTTACTTTGTTCACCTTCTTGAGAATGCACTTTGAAACCTTCTAGTATTTGCAATTAGCATTTACAAAAATAGGAATGTTATTCCCCAACCCAATTAACATGTCTGTTTATAGTTTGGAAACCGAAAGGGCAGTTATGACTTCTATCTCATAATTTGTACCTATCTTGCTGTCACAGGAGCTAGATTGAATCTTACCTATCTGCTGCCTCATGACAGAGTTCACTTGCTGAAAGAAGATAAGAAGATAAGATAAGCTAGACACCTCTAGCCCTCTAGCTGAGACATACAGATGAGCAACAGTGTCTTTAGGCAATTACAATTTCAATGGCACTGCTGTAACCCACACTGCAATTTCTACTCTTTAATAAAAAGTCATTTAACTAGAAGTTTCTTATGGTATACTGTATCTTTTCTAGCAGGTAAATATTGGGTATCCAATCATGATATAAAACTACACACCTAGAGAGATACCCTTTTCCTGAGTCATAGGTGCTATAAAGCCCTAATAGCAAACAGGGGATGTGGTAAGTGTTTCTTTTGTGAACATTTGTGGGTTTGTAATATCTATGACTCTGGTAATGAGCTTGTTCTGGCATTTGGTGAGCTGGTTAAAGCACTGGATCTGAATTCTGAAGCAGTGATAGTAGCAAAAATAATAAATACGGCTTATTGTTTATTTAGCATTGCTCATCTGCATAAAAAACCAACAGCTTGTTGCAGGAGCAAAGCCTTTTTAAGCAAGAAGCAGAGAGTTAGTCTTTAAATATGTTGATATCTTGTTCAGTGTATTTGGTCCCCAGCTATGACAATCAAGTATTACTAGTTGTCAGATAAGTTTTTCTAACCTGAATAGACTTCTTATTTTATCTCTAAGAATATTTATTTTCTTTATTCTACTTGTATGCTTTTACCATTTTCAAATATATTTTTATTTACTTGCACTTGTTTTATTTTTATTTTTCCATTTTTAAAAATGATTAAATTTTCATGTATTTTTAACCTCATTTATTCCCCTTTGATTTCTCAAAGGTGGCACATCAGGACCTGAAGGCATAATAGAGACCATTCCAGAATCAGAATCCAACAATAAAGAAAGTCCTTTTATCAGAGAAGGTTCTCTAAAGGTGAGGAAAAAATATGTATGTTTCTGAAATGAACTAATAACACTACTTTCCTAGGAAGGTAAGCATTCTTCATTCTTATACAGGCTTCACTCAAGTTTTCTTCGTTTTTCTGCTCTTGGCTATTTTTTGTTTTCTTTAATTTCTTCTTTATTGACTCAGTTATGTTACATTATTTTCTTAAGGAAAGATTGTTTGGAGTTAGACTAGACATTCCAAAAGCAATTCATAATTGCAGTAGTAGGAAATGAGTTATAGGTAATACCCTACTTCTCATTGAAGTTTTCTGGTTATAAAGCTATGAAAACATAAGATCCGGATTCATGGAAGTACTTATGTGCCCAGCTCCTACTTTCACTGTCTACAGCTCTTTGAAATTAGGGAATGTAAATATGGTACCTCAGAGTTCCCTTATGACAAAGAATTCCGTTTTATAGATGTAGACCATGGTCATGCACTACAGGTGAATTGACTTGCCTAGGTTCACACAGTAAGTTTCTGGCTGAGGTAGGAGTTCAAACACATGTTTTTTAAGACTTAGCATTGGTACTATCCATTAATCTGCACAAATATAGCTTAATTGATATTGTACTCCCTTGCTTTTTTTAATCCTTGCAGATGTAGTATGTCTCATCTTTCTTATAGTGTGTAATGCTCTGCACTTAAGGTACTGATACTGGAATGTAGCTATAAAATGTTGTTAACCAATTCCTGAGTACTCAACTTGAGCTGCACAGCTCAAGTGAGGCTAATGCCTAACTTGTAACTGTGAATGCTTACCGTTTCTTCCACTGAAATGATTGTGCTTTGGTATGCTTAGAACATTAAATGCTACAAAGCCCTAAATACTCCGGAAAATCTCAGATGCCTGCCTGATACAAGTTGATAATTCTGGCTTGGTAGCTCATTCCTCTTTCCATAAAACAATAAAATCATTTTATCTCACAGTTGCATTTTGGGGATAAAATAGTACCAGTGATGCAACCTGATTTGATGATAAACAATGTAGAAAAGTGCACAGCAAAATAATTATTTTATGACTGAATGTGTAAGATACTGTTGGTGCTTTTAGAGCCAAAGCTGCAGGTGGCTTCAGCCTTGAGCAATTAATTCCTGGCCTTGAGTGAAAAATAAAACAAAGTGGAAAAACAAGCAAGACTGTGTATGAGACAAGATAAGGGATAAGTTGTGTGCTGTAATCAGTAACCAGTCAGAGGTAAAAGAATGGCTCATGAACAGGTAGAATTATCCAATTATGTCAATTGTTTAGGCGCATGCTCGCTGTGTGCTGATAAGTAATAACAAATCAAAAGTGTAAGAATGACACGTGCTTGGGGCGTGGAGGAGGAAAGCTTTCAAAACGGTGCAAAGCTTCAATAAGGTGCTGATGCCTGAACACATCTCGGTGTTGGTCATTTCTTCATCTGTCGCAGATACAAATAATCATCTGATACATCTCCTGTGGTCGTGAGTGACTGATCCTGTGGATTGAGTAAATCAGTAATTTTATGCAAAATATAGTGCATAATATTGTAAAACTGTAGACACATTTGGAAAACATGTCTTAGAGTGACTTAGAACATTGATTCCTTTGAGTTTGTTTACTTGTACTCTTTTTCAGCATATGCACGTATGAAATATCTTTTAATACAAAGAGAACCACAGTCTTTTGAATTCTTAACATTTGATGTAGGCTTGGAAGGAGGAGCAGGACCGATTACTAGAGGAAGAACAACTTAAGGGAGGAAAAAAAGAAAATTTGGGACATAAAAAGAAAGGACAGGAGATGATAACGCATGAAGACAGTAATGCTTCCAACAAGAAATCTTCCAAAGAGAAGTATAAAGATGAGTCAGCAAAAGTCCCTGAACTTGAGGAGGATCCCAACATCCCAGAACCACATTCTGAGAAAGAGTATAAGGTAAGGAGTTGTGTTATTGCACCATGTTAGGAAAGTGCTAACTATTTATATATAGAGTCCAGATTACAGCAAAGCTATTACCCATTGTGAAATTTGAGTTCAGGGCAAATTAACCCTAACTAGGTCTTATTTAACTCCATCATTTTAGCAGCAGATCCTTTCCTAAAAATTTTGGAAAGCAGTTTCTGATGTTTACAACTATCCTACAGAAGACTACTTAATTGACTTGGATGGTTTTTAGCGTATATGATATGGACATAAAGATAAGCTGATCATGTTTTTGTGCCCATGGAAAGTATATTTGTGGGATGAATTTTGCCTAAAAATGTGATTTTCATGGGAGAGGGTAGGAAAGGGTAACGTAAAGACCTGTTCTAACTCCTGCATTTGGGGATTGCTAGACTTAGTTGAAGTTTTTGCTGTCTGCATTGGTAATAAAGTAAAAGGAGTTCCTGTTTCAAAATTCATGTTCAGGAGTGCCCTAATGCAAGCTGTTCTGCCTGTTATACTATCAGAGGAGTATTTCTTACAGAGGGAACTCTTCACTAGTTTTGTCCAGACAGCTTATAGACTGCACTGCTTTGTATTTGCAGAGCCTAAGCCTTGCATCCAGAACTTGCAGAGGTCAATGTATTTTAGTCTAAACTTGCTTGAGTACGGACTTCAAACTCAGAGATAAATATCATTTCAGTCTGAACTTACCTGAGCACGCTCACATAATTTTTGCCAATATGTGGCTCTTTGGAAGATACTACAATCTAAGAATCAGATTTAGTGTCTGAATTCCAAAATCTAGAGGGTGGAAAGCTGAATCTTTATCTACCCTTTATCCGATCCCATGGCGTTGTACTTTGTCTCATTATACTTCGCTAGAATTTTTCTTTCCCTCCCTTTACCTGTTAAGCCACCAATCTACTTGCTACTCTTCAGTTTCCATAATGGCTCCATACCAGTGAAGGTCCAGATTCTGATCTCATGTGTAACAAGTTACTTCAGTTAGTAACTGGGAAATTCTTTGGATATGAGAATAGCATGCTATGCATTTGCTGAAGTCATTATTACATTAGTGAAATATCTAAGCAAAAAATGTTGACCAGAACAGTAGGATCCTGATTATCTGTCCTTCATTTACCTCTTTATCATGGTTTCTCCCTTCCTCATTTACACATAATCTAAAATTTTTTTTTTACAGTTTCTTGGCTACAATATGGGGGAGGATCTTATTCAAGTATCAGGAACCAATCAGTATCTTTTTCCATCTGATGGAGGACAGATTCAAGTAGAGAAGATAGAGTTTGTCAAAGGTGATTCTTTAATTCTTTATGCTTTGCTTTGACTCAGTTACTAACTGATGGCATAGTTTCTTAATCCATATATGCTTTTTCATGTCTCAGTAGTAGAAATTCAGTTAAAGGCATTTATGTGGATTGGCCTCACCCTTTTAGTTTGCAGCCAAATGCAGCCTGCTCTCTCACTGCCCCCCCTGGCTCCAGGGAGTAGGGGAGAGAATTGGAAAGAAAAGGGCAAGGAGACTCACAGGTTGAGATAAAAACTATTTACTAATTAAAATAAAATGATAATGATTACAGTAATAACAGAATATACAAATGAGTGATACACAGTGCAATTGCTCACCACCCACTGACTGATGCCCAGCCTGTCCCAGTCAGTGATCCTGGAGCCCAGACAGTCTCGAAACTGAAACCCCAGAAGAGTGAGCCCGAGCAATCCCCAAGAGAATACCCCGTCTTCCAGTCAGCCCTGGTTAATGTACTGACATGACATGATATGATCTGGAATATCTCATTGGCACATCCAAATGCCAGTTTTGGGTTTTGCTGTTCACTGCGCTTCTCCCTCCCAGTCCTAATGCCGCTGTGAACCAGCCAAACTAATAATGTTAGTACTGCTATCAACATTCTTCTCATAACAAATCCCACACTGAAACCAAAACACAGCGCTATTCTAGCTACTAAGAAGAAAATTAACTCTATCCTAGCAAAACCAGGACAACATTGTGATTCCATATTGGCCTCTATCGCTACTAATGTTTGCATTTTCCTGTAGTATGTTAACAATTGTTAGAAATATAAAGTATCAGAAAATTAGAAATGGAGAAAAATCAGTTCACGTTTATCTCTTCAGTGGCAACAAATGCATGATATTTCAAGAACTCATGTTCCAATAATTTGTCCAGTCAGATGCAATATATCTAAGCAACAGGGTCATCCTGCGGCCTGTCAGATCTAATTGTCAGGAAGGTTTTCAATATTTCATCTAAACTCATCTGACCTTACTTTTGTCTTCTTGATCTACTACTAAGAAATTCAGTCCACTTCAGAGCAATTTTCTTTTTTGTGTGCTTGATAGTTGCAGGTACAGGGGGGGTTTTTTTTGATGCAAGGCAGTTCTGAAGCCTGGTGAAAGCAATAATAATATTCTGTTGCTTTGCAGGTCTAACTTTGGTAAAGCTGAAAGTGATAAAAGACAACCACAATTTCTTCATTCATATCACAGACCCCAAGGAAAACTTAAAAGAAATCGAAGTGCAAAAACTTAATGAAGAACAGAAAATTAAATCAGGTTAGTGGATTGACATCACAGATATAAAGAATTTATAGTTTGACGTATTTAGTAATTGGATGCAAACCTTATGAATTAACAGAAAATAAATTCCTGCTAATGGTAGAGGGTAAATAAGATCAGTGTTCTGTAAATAGAAGTAAAAATCCAGTTGGCTGACTTAAGCACCATGTAGAGAGATCTTACCAAGGTGTAGAAGCACAGGACAGATCAACAGGTACAAACCAGTCTCTTTTCCAAAGCAAGAAATAAATGAAAAGAGTCACCATTTCTTAAGAAAATAATTTTCTTCCTTGGTGGAGGACTCCTTCAGATCTCAGTGTGGCCTGGGAAAGCCTAAGAAGATGCAAACTGTTGCACAAGATGTTGTGATCAGAATAAATGTCTGTCTTTGAAAGGAATTTTCTCCTTTGAACTGGGCCTCCTTTTGTGGGTTAGATGACCATAGCATTAGTGCCTCCTCAAGACCTTTGCTGTGGAAACAGAACTTTCTGCACTTCAGCAACTCCTACTGCTGGCTAACATGTTGCTAACACTCAGAAAGCATGTAATCCAAATCCTTTCTGAACCCAGGTGAGAGTGTTTCCAAGAAGGGAGCCAGCTCTGTTTAGTATCTTTATCAATGATCTGGATGACGAGATCAAGTGTACCCTCAGTAAGTTTGCAGATGATGCCAGTCTGGGCAGAAGTATGGATCTGCTGGAGGGTAGGAGGGCTCTGCAGAGGGATCTGGACAGGCTGGATCGATGGGCTGATACCAATTTTATGAGGTTCTACAAGGCCAAGTGCCGAGTCCTGCACTTGGGTCACAACGACCCCATGCAACACTACAGGCTTGGGGAAGAGTGGCTGGAAACCTGCATGGCAGAAAAGGACCTGGGGGTGCTGGATGACAGGCAGCTGAACATGAGCCAGCAGTGTGCCCAGGTGGCCAAGAAGGCCAATGGCATTCTGGCTTGTATCAGTAGTAGTGTGGCCAGCAGGAGTAGGGAAGTCATCCTTTCCCTGTACTTGGACTGGTGAGGCTGCACCTCGAGTTTGGTGTCCAGTTTTGGGCCCCTCATTACAAGAAAGACATGGAGGTGCTGGAGCGTGTCCAGAGAAGGGAAACGAAGCTGGTGAAGGGTCTAGAGCACAAGCCATATGAGGAGTGGCTGAGGGAACTGGGGTTGTTTAGCCCAGGGTAGTGGTAGAGCCACCATCCCTGAAACTATTTAAAAGACATGTAGATGAGGTGCTTTTGGACGTGGTTTAGAGGTGGACTTGGCAGTGTTGGCAGGTTTTCAGTTGGACTCTATGATCTTAAAGGTCTTTTCCAACCAAAACGATTCTATGATTTTATAAGTTTGTGTGTATGTTTGCCAAAAGCACTGTGGAGTTGCTCTCACTGAACTGAAGAGTAATGGAAAGTATAACTTTTGGTAGGTTTGTTGGCTCTTTTAATCTTCTTTGGTGTTAGAAAGCATCCTGCTCTTGCTCTTCTCCTTGGCTTCCACTGCAATCAGTGATGTAATTCTAGGTTGTCTGAATAGAAAATTTGCATCCCTTCCACATATGAGACGTTTCTTGTCTGCCCTTCTTGAAAGTAGACCTGTGTAATTCTGGAGTCTGACAAATGGTACTTTCAATCACCAGTGTGCTGGCATCTGAGGCAAGTTGTATTCACCTGGCACGAGTGAGAGGCTTTCCTCCTGTGTAAACAGGAGTACCTTACAGAAAAGCACTAAGGCAGAGAAGAATCAGTCCACTCTGATACCTGGCAGTGGATGAATGGTACAAGGCTTTTCACTGGTTGTTGCTGTTAAACATGTTTAATACACCTAGCTCATTAGAATGCAATTTCTAGATGAAAAATCACAGCTGTATTACAGAAAACTGAGTATTATTTACTAGTCTTTAAATGGAATGATAAGGTTTTCCGCAACCTATATTAATCTATTTTACAGGTTAGTCATGCACATTGAGGTGCCCCTGTTCACAGTAGTCATTGGTTTGCAGGTTGAGTGGCTCTGGTATGTGTTGCTATCTTTGAAATTCATTTTAAATTTTTTTTTAAAGGAAAATTAAAAAATCAAAAGAAAGCTGTGAGCAAGTTTGGATCTTTTTCAGCCACCTTGGAAAATGGAATCCAGCTGTCCTTGAGCTATTATGGACCTACAGGGAAGACAGCAGGTAAAGTAAGCAAATAAAAGAGGATATTTGAGAACCATAGGGGGAATTTTTTTTTCTTATTTTTTTTTTCCTTCATACACCCTTTAACCCAATAGTTTGTTGCATGCAGTTCTGCCTTCCTCAGCAGCTGTTGCTACATGGTGGGGAATTTTCAGCAAGGCTCAAGATGAGATTACACTGTCAAGAATATTCTGTGATTCAGATTTCAAAATGGAGAAGATCTCCATGTTTTTTACTTCCTGTGAAAACAGAGCAGTGCAGGGAAGAACTTGCAAGTATTGTTATTAAGTAGCCCAGCAAAATCAGCCAATTAATTTGAGCCAAAAAAAATGTGATTTGTTGAGGAGTCTTTTTGGTTTTCCAAGAAATAATATTTTTGAAAACTTATATAGGTGATTATGGAACTTTCATTTTGCATTAGGAGTTGGACTTTAGGTTACAGTTGTGCAGACATAGTGAGGGATTTCTCTCAGCCTTTCAATAAACACATTCACCAACTGGAAGCAATTGCTTCACAAAACCACAGTGCAAATAGTGTCTACTTTTACCAAGAGCTTTTTGTTTCCATTATGATTGAAAGGCCACTGAAACCATCATATGGATAAAAATGGAACCCTCCTCTGATCAGAAAATAATTCTGGCATTTTTCAGCTCTTACCATATGAAAACATTTAATTGAGTGCATCTTTGTGTGAACTGTGGTAAATCATTCAAATATACACTCAGTTTTAATTTTTCAAATACATTTTACAAATTAATTACTTAAAACGGACTTTTAAAACTTGAGCATTCACAATGTTGTGGACTGTGAAAACTTGTATTTTGGCATAAAAGAGAGACATGTCTAATTAAACACCTACACGTCAGCTGTGATGTTCAGGCTTTTTCACATCTGCCATAAATATCCTGTCCTACATTAGAATAATCCTTGCCATGTTGAGCTTTAGCGCAGCACTGCTGACTGGCATTCTTTGATTGTTTGCAGTTTTTCTACAATCACTTGTTCATGACTAATTCCCCTTGTGGGTGTTTGTATAGTAAGTGGTCAGAAAAATTCTGACTAGAAATATTCTGGTTTAGACTATTCTCATATGCCATCCATCCCTAATGTAGAACAGTATGCCATGTAATCTGCAGTTTCTCTCCACTGATTGGTTAAATTGGATGCAAATTACTTATTTTCCCTGCATTACTGAAATAACTTTCTGGAACTTCTCTAATTCTCATTTTTCTTATTGTTTTTCTCATTTTATCTCTTCTGTCTTTCTTTTAGGGAAGCTAAGATGACAAAAGGCCTCAGGCTGTTTGCCAGTTTTGTGCATCTTTTTCATTTCTTGGTTAAATGTTAATATTTCTTTAAGTTTTGCATTATTATTTGTTTTCTCTAGCACGATGACAAAAATCTAACTTCAGACCAACTTGCAGCCAGGCTTAGAAGCAAGCTTCCCATTGCTTTGTGACTCTGGCACTGCTTGAGCATCTGCAGGTCTTTTGACTCTGATTATTATAGAAGCTTTGCACTTGGTCTTTGTGCCTTGATGAAATAATGAGAGTACAACTCCAAGTGCTAGAAATCAGCATGTGTGTGTAAGAGAAAGGAAACGTTCCTTAATCTGACAGTCGTCTGGAATTTCCCATCTCTCTCTCATGATTTCCAAAGACATTTTCCCTCAGTTTCAGCAATCTGCTCTTTTTCATTGTTCCCCCTCAGACACTATGTTCTCATTTTTCAGGGAAACCAGGGTAAAGGGGTCGGTGAAATTTCCTTAGGGGTCAAAAGCCTATAACAGCTTCTATTCCTCAATTCAGCACTCTGAAAAGGAGTGTCATCTGACACTGAGCATGTTCCACTTCACACCATGGGTAGCTGTGAAGGATAGCTCCCCTCACTATGTGTGAGAACATGCTTATACCCAGTTTGCAGTGTTCACAGGGATATTTCTACTCACCTAACAAGATGGATTACATTCACTAATTATTTTATTGGACAGGTGCCTCAGAATCCTTCATTTTGGCTATCCTACTTCTCTGTGGACTACTGGCTCTGTCAAAGTTTGTTAGTCAGCTGTTACATCTTACCATCCACCTGGAGATGAGTACTACTGCTTGTTTATTCCATGGCCATGCTGTCTAATAAATGTCTGTCAGAATGGGCCCCATGGAGAATTTTAAACTTTGCTATTTTATGTGATTAGCTGATAATTTCTCTCTAGCATATTACAAATAAAACAGATTTGTTCACCATTCCTCAGACTTCCAATAAGCTGTAAAAGCCACACAACTTAAATTTCAGTACGTGAAAGCAGAGCCACCTAACAAGGGATCAGATTCTCATGCGTCAGGCCTGCATCAGCTAATGAAAATGGGGATTTCAAAAATCTTTGTGGCAATCTAAATTTCCATGGATATGGAAATGGATATATTCAGGTATCTGTGTATTTCCCTAATGTGTTATGAATATATTCAGATATCTGTGTGTTTCCCTAATGCTGGCGCCAAGTCAAAAACTGAGATTGGCGGCTTAAAAACTAAGGTGGAAGGCTTGTTATCCATGGACTCCTAAATAGGACTTTATCACCAGAAGATTCAATAGTTTCTTCTAGCCTTAGAGTCTTAAATTTTGGGTCATCTTTGCAGGTGCCATAAATGCAGAATCATCCATAAGGCAGCATGCAGGCAGCCTTTCTAGTAGTTGAGAACTTTATTTTTAAGGTGGCCTCTGCATTTTCTTACCTGCAGAGGTAAAACCATCTATGCCAAAACCTTTCTGGAAACAGTGAACATAGTAGCACTTAAGCCTACCTTTTATATAGGTAAAAATGTACTAACACTTTATCTACTTTACAGAAAATGCTATGATCTTACACTAGAACAGTTCTATTAGCATACTTCTGGATGCATTTCTTTCCTTCTTGGTCTGAATGTGATCTGGCTTGCTATTTGTCAATGAGTTATTTAACTTCGTTGCCTGATGTATCAGTTTTCACATTAAGTAATATTGTTCATTGGAAGAAGCAGAATTAAAAAGTAATTTTACCAAAACCAAAAAAAGAAAAGATTTTCTGGAAGTCTTCCTAAAGACATTCTTGAAATGACTGACTTTTTGTTGAACTTTATGCTTTGTAGGAACTACAAGTCAAGCTTGCTTTATTTATTTAAAAAAGGTTTTCAAAAGATGGTTTCTGAGACCCTGATGTTTTGATCACTGGTGTTTTCAGTTCTTATCTATATGGGTGTGCTTAAGATGTGGATAGTAAGTTGTTCCATCTGAGGTAACAAGTTCTCCAAAACAAGAATTCAATTACCTAGATTGTCTGGATGGGAAACAAGGTGCTATTTCATGAGTTATAGGTTTGGGACTTAGGCTGCCTTTCAAGCAAGAAAAGATTATTTTAAAAAATCTTTCAAAAAAGTGTTACAGTTGGGACTGGCTGGGGTTTTCTGATTAAAGAGAAGTGTCAGTTTGTTGAAACAAAAATTTTTTACAGGAAATCTTAGTTTCTGTTAATTTTATTTTCAAGAAGCTGTTTTGGAAGGCAACATGACTACTTCCTGTCAACATGCTTAGCAGGCTGCCATAATGCTTGGCCTTTTAGAACTGGGGGAGTCTTAGCAAGTCTAGATCATCAGATTCTTTCTGTATCATTGTAGCAAAATAGAGCTATGTCAAGCAAAACTGCTGGAGTCAGTTTGTGCTGGATCAGCCCATAATAAAGCATAACAACAGTGATCATTTCTTAGATACTAGACTCCGAATGTCTTCACCTATCTAAGTATTCTGGAGGTAAAAGATGATTTAAAAAATTGTATTTTCTAATTTTGAGACAGAAGTGATGACCTGGGAGAAACAATAGTTTCAAGATGTCTTTTAGGCTGATGAGTAGTCAGCCTATGGAAAGATTTTCTAAATAATTTCATATATTCAGCCCTTCTAATAAACTCCACAACCGAGGTTCTTATTTCTAAGGTAAAATTTAGTGAACAAAATCTTGTTAAAAAATAAAGTGTGGCCATCTACATTTATGAAACTTAATTGCATTAAAAATACTGCTTTTCCCTTCCTTTAGATGATGAAACAGATCCTGTCTTAGCAAGAATTATGAACATCCCTTCTGTTCATACTCCAACTGAAATTTCTGCTGTTAAATCAGCTTCAGGAAAAACAGATAAGTCTGTCAAACAAAAATCAGGAAAATCTCTGCCATCTGGAAAAGCAAGCCATAGCAAAATAGGCCCTCCACCACCTGATGACCTGGTAAAGCAAGAAGGAGGAAAGGTGAGAGAATAGACATTATCCAGTGAACACAGAAAAGAAACAAACGAAAATTCAAATATGTAAACTTATGTAACAGAAACATATAAACTTCTCAGAGGGCTTTAAACTGTGCCTTAGCAAATTCCTAACAATCTATGGTGCTTCTAAGGATATGTTTTACTCTTCTAGTTGTTCTTAGATGTACACGTTGGCAGCTGTTAATTAAGCTAGACATTATGACTCCATGATGTAAAGCAATGTGTCTTCCACTGTCCACATACTTTTGTCAATTTTGTCTTTAAGTTACACCTGTTACATTATTAAGATGTGACTAGAATGGCTCTAGAAATGAATTGTTAGTTCAAACAAGTAGAAGGACTTTTCTGTGCTTTCCAAAACCTGTATTGGAAAGTCTTAACCAACCAGTAAATTAGTGGAGACAGTTTTGCAAAAGCTTGCTCTGTGATTCGGTCTTTCCAGCTGATCACAAGCCAGGGACCAGAAACTGAGGAAGTTACTTTTCCCTGCGACTGAAGGACACAGGACAGGTCTTTGGAAAGGATGAATGACATTTCAAAAACATTCTGAATTTCTGTTATGGAATACTTAGCAAAGAGTAATACAGGAATTACAGGACCACGTGCCTCAGAAATGCACAGCATTTATTCTCGAACATCTTCCACAGAGCTCTGTGAGAAGCTTTTTGGCATTAAGGCATGTGATTATGGGAGGCCATATCAGTTCAGAAATGGGTCACAGTTCCCCTCTGCAAAATGACTAACCTAGATTATTTCAGGTCATTAGCTAACTATTGGCAGAATATTGTAGGCAACCACAGGAGGTTTGTTTGGTTCAGTGATCTCACAGATCAGCCAGAGTACGAGTTACATGAAAAGTTCTCAAAGAAATATGAGAGGAGATATTAGCAGGATGGTGTGGAAAAGGATGCGGGAGTTTTCTGTTTGAGATCATTTAACTTCTTTTCTTTTTTGTCGTTGTTTTCTCCAACCAGCAGTGTCCCAGAAATGGACACAGTTAAAATACAAAATAAACTCTGAGAGAAGGACAGAAATGCACATTAATAGTATCAAGAAGCAATGTAGTTACCACCTTCAGTTTAGGAAAGGACAGTCTTCTGAAAACAGGCATAATCAGAACACAAAGGAATGAGGTCCATAATCATGTAACACTAATGCTCTAAATGTTTAATGTAACACTAATGCTCTAAAATATACTGAGATAATTCTTTAATGATATTTATGATTAAAAGCTATCCCGTTTAACCTGATCAGGTTACAGAAGAGTAGCATTTCTAGGTAACGTACTTGTTAAATGTGGTTCTTAATATATTTCCAGACTAACTGCAAAAATATGTAAAGCATATAGTAGTGTGTTTTAATTTCCCCTCTACTTCATTCTATCTTTAATCAAGTATGGCTGAAATGATGTGGAAAGAACTGCTAATAGAATGTCCCAGTTCTCACCCTGAGCCAAGTTTCAGTCCAGTCTACTGCGTATAATACTTTTCATGACCAATTATTTTCCATTCACACAGCCATTCCTCCCTCTAACATTCTGCTTCTTCCATAGGCTGGTGAGTGATATGTAAAGAACATGAGTGCATGATGGCACCACATCTGCCGTCTTTTCCTACACTGTTTTCTCTCTTGTCCTGTTCCTCAGAATTTCTCCATGGAAGATGAACACTAATTGATCTATCTGTGGTGGCTTCCAATTCCAGAGACATTTCATGAAACTCTACTTCAGTTCTTGATACCATTTGCTAAGGCACTGCCCTGAACAGGTTCACCACCTTCTGGTCTAAATATTTTAACATTTCTTTTTCAGAACTATGTCCTGGAAAACTGGTCTTTTATCTACTGTGGTTACTTTTGGCCGCTTCTCTCAAAATCACTCATGCTATGCCCTCACCAGAGGTTTATGACTTATCTTCTCAGCTCCCTTGGCAAGGGAGGTTGAATGGAGATCATCATTCTGTTGACAGAGCTGGGCTGAACTGTTCAAAGAGGTAGAATGGACAATATGGAAATGAAGGGTTAAATGCAGTGCAGGTTCATTGGAAACAGGAGATAGCTTCTATTACACAGCAAATGAGAGGAGAGAGTAGTAGGAAAGACAAGAACAAACGCATATTAGGAGTTGTAAGAATAGCCTTGGAAGACTCTCTAGACACGACATACTTATGCTGCTTCCGTGGTACCTAGTGGACGAAGTAATGCTGTGGCTCTTATTTCAACATGGATTTTGTCCATATCCACAAAAGTCCTGCTGACCTAATTTCAACAAGTTTAGCTAGTTATGTAAAGAGCATAAGCATGGAAAGTGGTATAGGGAGTTGCCAAACACTCAGCATAACATACACCAATTGTGTGGCACAAATGAACCCTATACAAACAAGTACCCCTACCATTAAAATTCTGTCAGGAGGACATCCGAGTTCCTCCTCTTCTTCCAAAAGGCTTTTTACTATTTGGTTCCAAATGTCTTTGGACAGAAAGTGTATATAACACCTGCCTCTCTGAGTCTGCAAGTATTTTGGAGGACAGGATTAGAAAGTGAAGCAAACTTGACAAATTCACATGGACATGGTCTGTAAAATAAGATGCAATTCAGTAAGAATAAGTGCTACATTCTACAATTACATATAAATAATCAATATATATCTGCAGAATGGTTAACAGTTCTATCAATAAGAGTTCCAGAGAAAGGTCTGAGAGTTGCAATGGATCACAGGCTATACATAAGTCAACAATGCCATCTTGCTGTGAGAAGGGCAAAGACCACTTTGAGGTGAATAAACAGGAGTATAGCCTGCTAAATATGTTATTTTCCATTCAGAGTTGGTAGGGCCTCAGCTGAAGTGTTGTGTCCAGTTATGGATACTGCACTGCAAGAGAAGCACAAGCCACACTGGAGATTTTTAAAGAAAGTACCAAGAAAGATCGGAGGTCTAGAAAATTTGACTGGAAGAGAAAGATTAAAAGACTTGGTTTGGATTGGGTTGATCTAGAGTTGAGAGACAAAATAGCCTACTGTAAAGAGTTAAAGGGACACCATCATCTCTCATGCTAGCCCATAGAATCAGAAGAAATTATCAGAAGTAAAATAATTTTCTGCAAGAGCAATTCAGGCTAACTGACAGGAAAATGTCAGTAAGGTTAATCAAAGTAAAGCACTAGAATAGCTTGCCAGGAAACCCCCAGCCCTGGAAATTTTTGGAATAGGTTACATTAACAGTTTTCTCCAATTATATAGGTATACTTGATTTTTTTCTTTTACCATTAGACAGGGAGAAGTAGATGACAACTGAGGGTTACTTCTTCCCTATTCTGTGACTTCTACCTCATGTTCCTGTGACAGGTTCAAGACCAGGACAAGTTCTCTCTGTTACCTCTCTATGCAACCCAAAACTGTTTTCATCTAATGACTACTGGCATAGTGTAGTTCATTGTCACATGGGTTTTTGGGGGGATGACATCAAAGGGTCCATTGTTGCATTTTTTCCAAATGTTCCAGGGTCTTTGGACATTCCTTAGGTCAACCTCATCTTTTCTAGTCATCAGAAGAGTTTCCTCTACAACGCAGTGCAGAGGATTACATGTTTTGATTGCCAAACATTCCTTCCTGTCCCCTTCTCAAGTCAGTCCTGTATTTGCAGTAGACTAGAAGTACTGCTTTACTTATCTTTTCTGCTCTTTTAATGATTATAGGTAAAATAACTGATGTGCAACTTCAAGAATTATTTCACACTCTTCTGCTTCACGTTATCCATTTATTGTCATCTCATCTTGACACTATGGACAATGTAGCATAATGACTCAGCAAAATGTATAACATTAGGAAGGGTTATTCTTCAAGCGTTAATAAAGAAGAGCAAAAGAACATAGCATAATCAAAGCAAATAAGCTAATGTTTCCACTTCAGAATCTGTAAACTCTCAAAATGTTAAAAATGAGTGGTAGAAAGCACTTTTTGAAAAAAATGTTTTGTTACAACTGAAATCTGTAGTCTAATTTTTTTTTATTCTTTTAAAATGTGAAAGAAAACTAATTCTTATTTCATTCTGTAGATGGAAATGGAAGAATCATCTTCCCAAACGCAAGTGATATCAAATGCTCCTGCTTTTCCAAGTTTGAACATCTCCTGTCCCAATGGACTAGTATTAACTTTCCTTGGTGAAAGTTTTGGAGGTTAGTTTTCTGAGCCACTGCAAAGTAGAGAATTTAAAAGAAGTTGATGAAAATTATTTCTGCCCTGATGGATTTAGATGTAACAATATGAATTTTTTAATGTCTCAGATTGCTAGGTCTGTGTTAATGTCTATTAAATAGTATTTGCAACACAAATAATATGTTTTAATTCAAACAAATGAAAAATCTAGAATTGCAAGTTGTTGGACATAACAGATTGGGGGCAGGGAGGCAGCAACCCTAAAAAGCACTTGGGAGTCACATTGGATAATCAGTTGAATATGCATGTATATTGGCATACTGAAGAAATATTATCAAATTCAATTAATAAATGCATATATATCGAGGAATCATGAATGATAACAGGAAGATTGCTATATTACCTATATTGCTATATTACCTATATCTGCACCTCCTTTGGAATCATATCTACTGTTTTTAAGTCTGCCAGACAAGATGTTCTTGTTTTGAAAGATACAGGGGAGAGTGGCAGGAATGATTAAAGCATTGGAAGATGTATCTTATAATAAGCTCATGTCACCAGAGAACTCAATGTAATTACCATAGGAAAGGTCATAGGAGTGACTGGTGCCAGCCTGGAAGTTCAAGGAAACAGAATTTTGATGATAGCTTGTAAACACAGTATACAAAGGTATTACACATTTCAGGGGCTTGAAACTGAAAAGTGGTACTTTATACATAGTTTGGCAAGGAGCATGAGTTGAAATGCTAAATAGTTGAGGTGAACAGAACAATTACAGACACATACATGTAGTGTCTTGACACAGCTACCATAATTATACTCATTAGCGCACTCAACACATAAGTTAATCTACAAACCTTATTTCTTCAAGCAGATAAAATATCTAACTTTAGTTTCTACACAAACTCAAACTTGGTGAAACTCAGGAACGTTTTTCACCTTTATGAGCATTTAGGAAATTCCTCTCACTTAATGTCAGTCTTCCAAAAGTTCAACATCCATAATAAATCCATTTTCAAATTTCCCTTGTTTTCATTTGGAAACACAGACACATCCACAGGAGGATGCAGAATTTCTTAGTAGATGACTGCTTTGAATTGTTCTTTGAAAAACAGAGTCTATCACTCTGTGGGTTACAGAGGAAACCAACGAGGATTAGCTTTACTCACCTAAAGTTGCATACCTTCTGTAGATACCACGATGCTGTGTGTTTAGCACTGTTTGAATATTCTGTGCAGTATTAAGTAATTCAGAGTTTGTTTTCAGATTTGAAGGGTGAAGCCACTGCAGCTGAAGCTGAGAAAGAGGTGATAAAGAAAAGTGAGGCCAAAGCAGATAAAGCGAAGGAAGAGGAGGTTGAGAAAGGTGAGACCAAAGCAAATGAAGCAAAGGAGGAAGAGGTCATGGAAAGTGGAGAGAAGGAACATGAGGTTACAGAAGGTGAAATAAAGCACAAAGATGCCAAAAGACAACAGACCAAGCAGCCTGCTCTGGAAATTCTGGTTAGGCAGAGTTATCCCCAAAGGGTAAAGAACTCTCATCTATATACGCCTGTGGCAAGGCAAACAGAACAAGAGATGTCAAGAGTCATCACCAGTCAAGGAACTGTCATAAAGTACATGATGGATGGCTCTACCCAGGTATGTTTAGTAGAATTCGTTGAAAGCAAGCTGCATATGAACTTGTGCTTGTCAACTGAGACAGAAAAGTGTCCCATTTGCAGATGAAGGAGTTAAGTAACCACTAAGTTATACGGCCATGTCAAGACTAAAATGCATTGTCTTAAGGCATATAGGGAGCTTTAACAATGAAAATTTTAGTCATTTAAAGATTTTAGGCAACTTTGAGATTGGGAAATAGCTATATGAATATGGTTCTGAGTACTGCGTTCCTGGACTTAAACATCTGAAGCGTAGATTAGTTAGGCTTTGGGTATTTTTGGCAACACAAAAGCATCCGTATATTTTTCAGTTATCTGAACAGTCATATGGGATCCAGAAAAGACCTGAACTGTTCTTCAGTTCTCCAGACACCTTTAGGTATTCTTAATTTTCATCAAAAAGATTTTATATTCCTAAGTACCTTCGTTGCTTGCACGTATTTAGGTGGCCCATAATTCTGATACCTTTTAGGTGCTATAGGCTAGATATCGTTTCTGCAGATACTGTTATCAATCTACAGGCAACTGTCTTTTTATAGTCTAGGACTCTGTATAGTTAGCAAAACAGTTGAAAAGAAGAGTCATCCGTTTTGACTCAAAACTGTCAAAATAATTCCTTATTTCCTCAAGTGTTTTTTTTCTAAGTAGACCACAGTTCCTAGTACAAATTCTTTACATTCATTCATCACATTAGATCTTGAACCATTTAGCCAGGATTTCTGAGAAACGTATCCATTTCAGAAGTACGCAAAGAAGCTTGCTGCTGCATGTCTATATATTCTCAAGATACTGTCTCCTGACAGAAGAATATAGATCTTATGTGCCCAGCATGATTGTACTATAGCCTTTGTAGAAGCAGGTTATGAGTGTGTCCTTATTCATATTAACTTAATGTTTGTGACTCATCAAGAATGTATTGCATATAGATAAGCATTCAAAAAAGAAATAGTTAATTACCTTACAGTAACTGTAACTCTTGAGATGTTTCTATATGTTGTTTTTTTGGTTTCCACATTGTACTGTCTTCTCCCTATAACATCTGTACTGTATTTGTAAATGAATTCAGGGATAATTGTTTCCTCTACACAGGGAGCATGCATATCAAGAGTTGAGTGTAATAGACCATAAATCTCAGAAACCAGCTATAAGATAATAAAAAAATCATTATTTCTTTTTATTAGCTGTCTTGATGGCTAAAATATTAACAGTAATCCTAGACATGTGGAATACCTGAATAGTGATACAGATGCATTACCACTGCTGCAAAAAAAAAATCACCAACCTTTGACCACTTAACTAGTCAGAATAATCTCACTTTTTACTTTTATAACATCTATTTGTTACTAAACAAAATCCCCATTATTTATATATATATATGAACTGCAGCAATTAGCAGTTCATTCTCTTTGAGATAACTTCTTTATTTCTTGTATACATTCTGAGAGTTTTTACTTCTTTCCTCTCCATTCCCCCACAATATTCTAGTGACTATTGCATTTGCAACACAATCTTTTGAGACTTTCTATTGGTGTTTGAAGTTATTTTAACCTCTATCATGTCCTTGATTTCTGTAGATTCTGTTTGCTGATGGCACAGTGAGTAGGAGTCCTGATTCTGGCCCTGTCCTGCCACCACCCACGATTCCAGATGATATGCTACTGTTACCAGAATCAGAGCCTGTACCTGAGATCAGCACTAAGAAAGGTAACATAGCAGTGTTTTGGGCAGATTTAAAGTTAGCAGGGCTGATAATACTTAATAAAGGGCCTATTTCTTTAATCTGAAAATTCTGCCAGTGTGAAAATGCAATTTTATCTGTACTCAGCTGCTGCACACTGCTGATTTGTTATCTTCATATCAAATAATCTCTCTCCTACTCCAGATTTATTTTACTTCTAACATGCTAGGACTCTAATAAGGGTGTGTAAGAACTACATCAGTAGCAGAGTGATTCAACATGAAGTATTTTAAAATAAATCCTTGTAACTACAGTAGTGTCAAATCCTTACGTGTTACACAGCTTTTGGTCTTGAGAAATGCTTCTCTTGCAGAGGACTTACTGTATTTTTCTTTCTCATTATATCTATTCCAAGGCATCTACTGTTGGTCATTATCAATTAGTTGTACGGATTTGTGGTCTGTCCCTATATAACCATTCTTGCATTACTTTGTTTGGCTGAGAAAGAATGAAATAAGTTTTCTTCATACCTCAAGAGTGTAGTCTGACATCACCGTCAGTGCTTATTACTGCAAAGAATAAGTATGACCTGTCATAATATTAACATATAATTTATTGGAAGTATGTGAATAAAAATTGCTGCCAAAGAGAAAAGTCTCTGAAAAAGGAGATTTTCAAGTCATCAAGTCCCGTCCTTGTTCTAAGGATATTCGTTAGGATAACTGGAAGGATATTTGCGAACTTCTCTGACAAACCATCATCTAATTTCCAGTCTCAGTATCTGTGTCCAGTGTATATCCTTTATTCCTTATCCTTTACTTAGGATCACTTTTTACACCCACCTTTTCTCTCCACTGCTTAGTCTGGACAAATTTATAGTGAAAAGTTTCATCTCTTTTTGGCTTTTTTTTTTTTTTTTTCCCTAGGATGTATTTTCTGTAAGCCTTTTAGACTTCTCTCTGGACCATGTAGGTCTTTTGCATACACTTAGTCTACGTTCCTCTTCTTGAATATGGGAGACCAGAGTTCTATATCACATTCTTAAAATAAGATCTCTCCAATTCCCTTTCACAATGGAATCTCCATCTCTTTTCTTCTGATGCAGCATAGGATTGTATTTGCCTTTTTTGTCACCGTGTTTTCACACTGACAACTTGTATTCATTCTAATGGATGATACCTCTAGGTCTTTCTTTTCTTCTACTGTTGCAGACTGGACTGAAGCAGAAATTATTTTTATTCCTTTTCACATTAAATTCCATTTGTATAGGCTGTATCAAATTCCTATTACTTTAATCTTCCAGCTCATGGGACAGTTTTGGATGCTTTTTTTTCTGTAATCCACTCAGGTTTTCTTCTGCATTGATAGTCACTTCTAAAGTCATGTCATAATCAGAAGTCATTAGTGTGCTGTTTACTTTTTCTGTGTCATTAACAAACACATTAAATAAGATAAATTCAAGGGCACACCTTTGAATAACAGCACTTACCATTTCCTTCGATCCTGACAAATAGTTCTTTCAATTCTGTCAAAACTAATACTCACAGAAACTCTGCGCTTTATTGATTTTGTCTTTTGCCTTACAGAATACCAAGTCTGATACAGAAATTTTTGTTCCTGCAGGAAAAGGCAGTGACAGAAACAGTATATCATACCCAACCAAGGATGAATTGTTTGAAAATACTGTTCAGGATCTGCTTAATCCTGAGCAACCTAAGGAGAACCAGGCAGGAACCTGGATAACAACAACTCCATTAGGCATTCGAGTGGGCACTGAGGGAGCAAAAAGAATGGATCTGAAGCCACTCTTATTCTATCAGGCAACTGACCCAGCTGATGGAACGGTATTGCTATTTTTGTGTTACTATAGCACTACCTACTAAGCTAAGAAACAGGGCTGCCATCATGTAAATTGAAGGATTTGTTCTTTGAACATACATGCTACAGCTTGTCTTATTACACTGTTACTAACACAAAAACTCTAGATTTTGAAGAAAATGTGAGTCCTTGGTCACTGAAGTAGATAAAGTTGCAGTAGTCTAGCTTCATCAGAGTTTTGGTACATATAATGCCTTGTTTTACTGTTGTTGCTGTTACAAGTGTCACAGAGGTAATAATGAATGAGTATTTCTTCATTCTTTCAGGTTATGACTGTACGAGATGATGAAGTGGTAATTGTTGAAAAACTGGATGGTAGCAGAGTAGTAGATCATGCGGATGGTACTAGGATCACAACTTTTTATCAAAACTGTGAAGAATTTTTTGTACCAGACAATAGCAAGAAAACAGGTAACATCAAAAGGGGAGCACTTATCTCTGCCATATCTTGTGAAGCAGATAATTGTCAAAATATGCTAAAGAAGGTTCATACCAATAGCCTAGATTACAAATCCACTAGTGCAATCTAGGCTTAGTTTGTCTGCTTAGTCCTTTTTTCATCAATATTCAGTGCAAAAATTACATTGTAGCACACAAGCAAATTTCCTTCTTTCCAGCTATATACTTAGATGACCCACCTTCACCATGACACCACCCTGTCTGTGTTCTATTATGTTCATTGCCCACTCTCCACCTACCCTGATACAACAAGCAGGCTGATTTGAGTCTAAACTGAATGGGTGTATAAGGACCAGGGCATCCTCATGTTCTTCCGAGAGGCCATGGACTCACCAGCCTCGTCAGTATTCGAAATTTGATTGAACATGGCCATGGAAAATGCCACGCCTAGTAGAAGTGAAACTACATTCACCTGAAACAAGAGGGGCTAATGATCATCTGTCTGTCTTCTGGCTGACAGTGTATCCTGTATGCTTAGTTCAGTTGCTGGATGAGTTCTGTAACTAACATGAAGTGTCTGTTTACTGTGTGGGTGTCAGGATTGTTGTGTTCAAACACAGTAGAAAGTTCTGGTTGTGGAACACCTCCCTGTAGTGGTCTGACTATTCAATGGGAAGACAATGGCCAGATTAACATTACCTGTTTGTTTTCCCCAATTTCTACTGCTGAAGGGAATTTCTTCACATCTTGGGGCTTGTGTCACAGGCATGAAAAGTTTCAGTGGTCCAACTTGTATGTTACACATACCCAGATCACTACAGTTACTACTGTAACTAACATCAACATTAGTTGATGAATTAGAGTACTCTCCTGACCACACCAGCCACAGATGGTTACAGACATTTTTTGCTGTTGGATTTTCCCATATTCACTGCAAAGTCCAAAAATTTGAAGGTTGCATATTTTTTACCTAACATAAAATTATGTAGTAAAGGATGTTATGAAGTCTGAGGGTCTTTTGCTGCGGAGATAAAGGTCCAGCCTTATGAGAGAAAAAGCAAATTGAATCCTAAGACTTTTTGGTGGTTCATGTGCTCCTGTCTAGTTGTTCTGTATTAATTCTTAGATAAACCCTTGGAAGCCACCACAAGGAAGGTGAAATGTGTGCAAGTAGAGAATCCTGAGTTTGCTACTGTTAAAACAAATTGTGAGGACGGTACCTGTTGTACCATCTTTGGAGATGGGACGTCTATTATAGCAAAGCCACAGGGAACGTATCAGGTGGGAATTATTTTTAGTTTGTGACAATGAAATGTATCTTTGTGTTCCAAGTTCCCTGCCATCAACATCTCTCACCTTCACTATTTTAACTCCCTTCTCTATAGCCTTCACAAATCCTATGATTCTCTCTCTTTTATACTCTGCCAGTATTTAGATTATAGAGGTCCTAGTCAACTGGACACTGACAAACATTGTCTCAGTTTTCAAGAAGGATAGGAAGGAAGACCCTGATAATTACAGGCCTGTCAGTCTTGCTTCAGTGCCTGGTAAAATTATGGAGAAGGTTATTCTGAGGGTTATTGAAAAACACTTGAGAGACAATACAGTTGTTGGTCATAGCCAGTACAGGTTCATGAGGAGAACGTCCTGCTTTGCTTAACTTATTTTCTTTTATGACAGTACGTCACCCATCTGGTTGACCAAGGGAAGCCAGTAGATGTGGAGGTTTTTTTGTTGTTTTTTAGCAAAGCTTTTGATACTATCTGTCACAGTATCCTTCCAGATAAAATGTCCAGCACACAGCTAGACATGTCCTTAATATGTTGGGTGAGCAATTGACCGACAGATTGGGCTCAAAGAGTTACATCAGGCTGGTGGCCAGTCACCAGTGGGGTTGCCCAGGGCTCAATTTTAGGGCCAGTGCTCTTTAATGTTTTTTATAAATGATCTGGACACAGGAATCGAATCATTTTTATAAATGATCTGGACACAGGAATCGAATGTACTTTAAGTCTGATGATGATACTAAACTAGGAGGAGCTGCGAACCCCTTTGAGTGTAGAGGGGCATTACAGATTATATCCATATGGTCTCTCTCCAGAGAGCTTGAGCAATCACCAAGTGTGTGGAATTTCACAAGAGCTGGGACAGGATAATCCTGGTTAGATGTACAGATTGGGCAACAAGAGGCTGGAGAGCTCTGATGTGATGTGAGGGTTTGGGTGGATGGCAAGTTGAATATGAGGCAAAACGAGCTAACCATGTCTTGGGGTACATGAAGCACAGCATAGCTAGCTGGTTGAGGGAGGTGATTGTCCCACTCTACACTGCACTGGTGCGGCCTCACCTCAAGTCCTGTGTGCAGTTTTAGGTGCCTTAATGTAAGAAGAACATCAGGCTATTAGAGTGTGTCTAGAGGAGGGCAACCAACCCATGTGCAGTTTTAGGTGCCCTAATTTAAGAAGGACATCAGGCTATTAGAGTATGTCTAGAGGAGGGCAGACAAGCTGGCAAAAGGTGTCGAGGGCAAGACTTAGGAGGAGCAAAAGGTGTTGAGGGCAAGACTTAAGAGGAGCAGCTGAGGTGACTTGGTTTGTTCAGCTTGGAGAAGAGAAGGCTGAGGGGTGACCTCATCACAGTCTACACCTTCCTAAAGTTGTAGACTTGAGGGGCAGTGGAGGGGAAGGTGCTGATCTCCTCTCTCTGGTGACCAGTGATAGGACATGAGGAAATGGAATGAATCTGTGTCAGGGGAAGTTCAGATTGGACAGTAGGAAAAGGTTCTTCACTGAGAGGGTGGTCAGTCACTGGAACAGGCTCCCCAAGGAAGTGGTCACAGCACCAAGCCTGTCAGAGTTCAAAGAGCATCTGGACAACACTCTTAGTCACATAGTTTAGTTTTAGGTAGTCCCGCGAGGAGTAGGGAGCTGGACTCCATGATCCTTATGGTTCCTTTACAACTTGAGATATTCTATGATTCTATGATATTTCCTCACAACTGTACCTCATATTTAAATCACAAGCTTAAATTGCCTTAAGTCAAAGAAAACATTACAGAGACTAACATCAGCTAACTCCTGCACCTCATCTTCCTTCCTTCTCTCCCTCAAACGTGGATGATTCAGTAGTAAAGGTCTAAGAGCTCTCCTCTTGATTTGCATCTGTTCTTCATTTTCATGGTACCTCTAAACAGAATTCACCTTTCAGGACTGAAACTCTTCCCATCTTACTGTGATAGGTTTTGCCTATCAAGACAGGCTCTCTTTTCATTGATGAAGATTGTTCAGCGGTTTATACCCATGAAGTTTGCCATTTCATCAGCAAGAAAGAAGAGAAACAAGCAGGGAGATACATTATGAAACACACTTCCAGCACTATTTGTGAGATGATGGATCCTGAAGGAAATATTTTCAAGGTAAAATACATGGAAGGAAACAAGTTTCTGCATTTTAAGTAATTTTATCTCATAAACAGCTCTCAAAGTCAGCTTGTAGTCTTGAAGTACTTATTCTTAAAGTACCCTAGCTAGCCAGAAGGAACAGCTCCTGGATCAGGTCTCTGTAATGTTCTTGAGAATGTGATGGATTTCCTTTTACAGTATTTCCTCCCTTTTAGAGAGATTGAAATAAAATGTAAGTTCTACAGTTTATCTCACCTGTAAAGTTACCTTAATTAGGATGACTTGTATTGTAGTGAAAAATCAGTTCTGCAAATGAGGATTAAAAACGAGAGAGGATATTGGCTTTCCAGAAGGTCTGTAGACACACTCTAATCTGGCTGGTAAGGCAAATATTGTGCTAAAATGAATGATTCTGTCTTCAGAGTCATACTGGTTGTGCTGTGATCCTTTCACACCTAAAAGATATTTCTGAGCTAGGTTAGTACTTAGTTTTGAGTTCAGGAAACATCATCTAAGTGACTGTGAGCTACATGCTGTTTTCTGATTAAAGTTTCCAATTAAAGATTCTAAATGTGACATCATTAGTGCATCCTTTCTGTTGTTGCAATTGTAATCATTACCATTTTCCCAGATTCCTGTGAAACAGCACTGAGCTTCCTTCCCCTGGACATATGCATTATAATACAGTTTTTAACCTGTTTTTTCCAGACTGAAGAAGCAGTGCTTATATAAATCTATACTATCTGTCAATCTCTCCCTAACAAATTTTGAAATAATCAACAAGAGGGGTAGAAATTTCAAAGATACCAAATTCCTAGAAAATCATTGCAATTCAAAGCAGCACAGAGGTTGCTTGGCATCAGCATGAGCACATCCTGCTTTTTCTCAGCTGATACTGAGGGAGCAGAGGAAGGAAGCTGAGAAGGCTGTGGGGCAGTTGAAGGTATTGTCACAGGGGGATGAGAGGGGATATGGGGGTTGCAGTAAGAAGGGTGAGATTAATGGTTGGTAGGGATGGGAACCAGGTACAGGTGTCATAGAATTGGTTCTTCCTCTGTCCTAGTCACACCTGAGACTTCAGCAAAACGGACGTGGGCTGGGTATGTCAGATTCAATTCATGGACCGCCCTTTGACTCACTCTCATTTAAACTGTATCTTCCAAAGGCATCTGTCCTTCAACTGACTACACTGATAATTAAAGACATTATTATACCTGGTGTGCATATCACAGAATCCCAGAATCAAGGTTGGAAAAGACCTCTAAGATCATCCAGTCCAACCATCAACTCATCACCACCATGCGCGCTAAACCGTATCCCTGAGTGCTATGTCTGCACATTTCTTGAACACCTCCAGGGTTGGTGACTCCACCGCTTCCCTGGGCAGCCTGTTCCAATGTCTGACCACCCTTTCAGGGAAGATATTTTTCCTAATATCCAACTTGAACCTCCCCGGCACAACTTGAGACCATTACCTCTCATCCTATCACTGGTTACCTGGGAGAAGAGACCAACCTCCACCTTTCTACAACCTCCTTTCAGGTAGTTGTAGAGAGTAAGAAGGTCTCCCACCAGCCTTCTCTTCTCCAGACTAAACAATCCCAGTTCTCTTAGCTGCTCCTCATCAGACTTGTTCTCCAGACACTTCACCAGATTCATTGCCCTTCTCTGGACACGCTCCAGCACCTCCATGTCCTTCTTGGAGTGAGAGGCCCAAAACTGAACACAGAACTCGAGGTGCAGCCTCACCAGTGCCGAGTACAGGGGGATGATCACTGCCCAGTCCTGCTGGCCACACTGTTTCTGATACAGGCCAGGATGCCATTAGCTAATAATCACCAGAAAGAAATACTGTAGAAATTCACTCAGTATTGTCATAAGATTATCCAAGACAATATTTTAAAGTGAATAAATGCCTGAAAAGGGACCCCTCTATACATGTATGCCTATGTATATCTATAGGTAAATAGATAAAAATATATAATCTGTATCTCTTCATGGATCAACACATATATAGATGTGTATATATAAATGTATATATTTATACATACATATATACACCAGATATATATAGGTAGACAGATTAATATATATAATGCATAATAATTTATATATCTTTGTATGCCAACATGTATAGGTGTGTGTATGTATAGGGCTATATATTTATACATACATTCACCTACACACATATATACACACACCTGTATATATACACATTTGTATATATATATACACACAAATTTATATTTATATATACACCTAGATAGGAGTATATAGGTATGTACTGTGTAATTATTAACTAACATTAATATATAGACATAATTATAATTATGTATATATTTGTGTGTATCTGTGTGTGTAGGTGTGTATACATAGATACATATATACCTCCCAGAGGTACATCAGTGTCTGTCTGAGTATACAGTTATCTGGCTTGACCAGCAAGCCAGTATTTTTGTGTGAAGGTGCCTATCAGTGCCTGCAGATACCAATGTTGGAGATGGCATCTAAGCATGGATGGCCCCATTTGACAACTAACAGTCCCTGAGCATTTCTTAAATATCAGCAGGTGATATTATGATATCACATGTCTTTCTAGAAATGTTTGGTTTGCTTTTTTCACTGTCTTTTTAGTTTTCTTCTTCATGTCTTTTTCCTGTGAATTCTAGGTTGCTCAACTTGAAATATGTTTTTCTATCTCTTTCACTGAGCTAGGTCATACTACAGGTCAGCTGCATGTTACTGTTTTAAGTATATCATGTAACTCAAGTCATTTTATCTAATTTCTATTATAGGTCATGGCTGATGGCAGCACATCTGTATGTGTTCCTAGCATTGGCTCTGATGACAAGGAGGACAGAAGTTCAGCATCAGCACTCCCAGAAGTTAACAAACCTGTCACTTATGATGAGCATGTCCCCAGGTAAATTGCACTGGATTCATAGGTTTACACTTTCTTTCTTCATTACACTGTATTTGTACAAGGTTTGTAGATTTTTGCTTCCTTTGTTCAGTACTCTGTATTTGCAAATTTAATGTCATCATCTTGGAGTTCCATTTTCTTGTTGTGTCATCACAGTACTTTTTTGCCATCTGGAAAAGAATGCAATTCAAAAGCCATTGGATTTGATGATTAGTGTGGTGGGTTGACCTTATCCAGCTGCTAAACACCCACCCAGCCACTCTTACTCCCCCTCCTCAACAGGACAAGGGGAGAAAATAAGATGCAAATGGTCGTGGGTTGAGATAAAGACAGGGAGATCACTTTCCAATTATTGTCATGGCTAAAACAGACTCAAACTTGAGGAAAATTAATTTAATTTCTTGCCAATTAAAATAGAGTTGGATGGTGAAAAACAAAGACAAAAAACGATAACACTTTCCCTTATCCTCTGTTTTTCTCAGGCTCAACATCACTCCCTCATTCCTGACCCCTCTACCCCCTCCAAGCAGCACAGGGAAATGGGGAATTGGGGTTGCGGTCCGCCCATAACAGTTCCTCTCTGCTGCTCCTTCTTCCTCATGCTTTTCCCCTGCTCCAGCATGGGTCCTTCCCATGGACTGCAATCCTTCAGGATAAACCTGCTCCAGCATGGGCTTTCCACAGGCAGCATTTCCTTCATGAAATACCCACCTGCACTGGTGTAGTCCTCTCCACAGGCTGTGGGGGAATACCTGCTCCACCATCGTCTCCTCACAGGCTGCAGAAGGGATATCAGCTCCCTGCACATGGAGCACCACTTCTCTCTCCTGCTTCTCTGACCTTCGTGTCATAGAATCATAGAATGGTTAAGGTTGGAAGGGACCTTAAAGCTCATCTAGTTACAAGCCTCCTGGCATCAGCAGGGACACCTTCCACTAGACCAGGTTGCTCAAAGCCTCATCCCACCTGGCCTTGAACACTTCCAGGGAGGGGGCATCTGGGGCAACCTGTTCCAGTGTCTCATCACCCTCACAGTAAAGAATTTCTTCCTAATATCTAGCCTAACCCTACCCTATTCC